ATTTTCGGGGAAGAGTTGGGATGATTGAACGGAAAAGGAGGTTACATAGAGTGTGATAAAATCGATTTATCTGGAGGAGAATTTAAAAATTGGTGTATAAGAGTCGAAGGAGGCTGCAAAATGACGAAAAAAAAATTTTTTTAGAGATTTTTGAGACAATGAAAGATGGGATCTATATCTAATTTTAGAGGCTTGAAAATAGATTGTAATTATCTGTTCAAAAAAATAAACAAATTATTCTTGAAAAAGTTTAAAAACGGGTTTTGAGATGGTTATTGAATTTTGATCCCTTCTCTTCATGTGTCATTTTCTTTTTCAGATAAAACCATGAAATAAAAAAAATGCCAGAACTTCTCATGATTTAGTGTTTTCTAAGCCAAAAAACGCACCCCAAAGAAGCGAAAAGAAGTGCCAATTGCTCTGGAAAAATGGCAACATTCTTCTAAAAGTTGTGCAGAAAAAAAAGAGAAATGTTCGTTCTCTGTGATGAAGGAACAGCACAACGATGAGGCGGAAACTTGGCCCAGTTTCACTTTTTTTTCCTGGAGCTCACTGGGGTGAGTTGCTTCGATTTTTTTTTTCCTGGTTCCTCTTGTTTCTTGTTTCAAATTGTTCCTTTTTCGGACTCGGAGGGTTGGGTTCAGCTTAGATGAGGATCGAGGAGAGCTTGAAAGAAAAATGGAAGGGATGGGAGTTACGGTAAAGCTCACTTCTGAAGCGGAAGTTTTATCGGTTAGGCAAGATGATTTTTGATTTTTGAGCTATTTTCAGTAGCTGAAAATTTTTTAAAGTTCTGAGAAATAGGGAATATTGGATCGAGATAATCCCACCCAGGTATATTTAATCTTAAAGATTTAAAACTTCGATTTATTCAACTTCATTCAGAGTTGAACTGTATTTGTTGAACAAATGGCAAAAACGCATTGATCCAGTAAGGGACCGAACTCAGACTGTTACTTTGAAGGTTAAGGCTTTATCCACTGCGCCATAGAAAATTGGTTTTGTTAGAGGCCTTTTCGGCCCTTGAACTGTATTATTATTCGTATTGAATAAATAAATGATGATGAAGGATGAATTTTGACCTTTCAATTTTTGTAAGATCCCAGACCTTGACAGATTTTGATTGCAATAATTTTTTCTAAGCCAAAAATGACAAAAATCTCTTTGACACGGTTGGGATCGAACCCACGTTACAGTTAATTCAAAAACCGAGATATTTATCCACTGAGCCATCTTGTTTTATTCCAATTTTCTTAACAGGAATGTTTTCTTTTCCTCATCCGAACGTCTGAAAAGCTGACTTTTCTTGGTGCGCATGCAGTAAACACGAGTGCAAAAAAAGTTTGAAAACGGGAAAAAGTCTTTCATTTTAATGAAATTTGCACTTTTTGTTTATTTTTTGAGAATATTTCCAAGCTAGAACGCCTTCTAAGGCATGCTGGATATTTTAAAAAATTCATAAATTTTAAACTGTCCCAAGAATCCCAAGAAAAGTCTGATAAAAAAATTAATTTTTGAGCATTAATTTTTTTGAAAAATTTCGAAATATCTCCTTTTTTTCAGCTCATGACTAATATTCTGGCTTGTGCAAAAAAAAGAACAGCGTGAGAAAATGTGGGCGGAGTCAGGTGAGAGAGTGAGAGGACCCAGAGAAGGAATAATATTTCCTTTTTAAGGCGAATTTTATGAAGTTGCTGTTTTTTCTAAATCATGATTTTGTGCTAGTGCCGCCCTGTTGCTCATATTAGGCCGGCGGCATATTTTCCGTGCGACGGCCGAGGGTGGAGGTGGGAAAGTGGGCGTGGTTTAGTCGGCTTAACTCCTCCCATTTTTCTTGACCATTACCATTTACGGCTTCTCCGTCACTTGGACGTTTTGTTAGGGAGTTAGGAGATTAGGATTGAGATTATTAGGTTTAGAAGGCTTTGAAGATTTTTTTCGGAGGATTTTTAGGTGATTAGAAGTTTCTGAGAAAATTTAAAAGGGCTTAAAAATTTCTGGTGTTTCATATGAAAGCTTATTTCTGAATTCCAGACTTCTTTGAATTTTTTTAAAGTTGGAATTGAGAAGAGAATTTAAAAGCTTTCTCAGATTTTTTGAAAATTTTATTCATCTTGGGATTAAAAAAATTCTTCTTATGAAAAAGCTGAGGTCCACGGATTTGAAAAACCAGCTTGATTTTTTTATATTTTTTTCTAATTTTTTTCTAACTTTTTATCTTATAATTTTGATATATTTTTATCTTATAACTTGGATAGATTCACAAAGTTTCGATGGTCAATTTTTGAAATTTATTGAAGATTCGTACCTTCTCAAATTCCTCAAGACTTTTTTTGCAATTTCCATCTATTCCTCATACACTCTGAATTAGCAGCAATTCTATCAGCTCTGGAAAAGTTTTTTCTTCCCATTTTTTTTCTGCAAAAATCGCCTCTCTCTCTCTTTGTTGTTTTTGCGAAAGAGAGCCGAGAGAAACGAGAGGAAACGCGGAGAGATCGCGAGACGACAGACACGACGACAGTGTAGGGCAGTACTGGTTGACGCCGGCTGGCACGCCACGCCCCTCAAGAACAGAAGAAGGAAAAAAAAAATTGGAAGCGCGAGAGAGAGACGGCGCCTGGCGCCAAGTGTCCTGGGGGGCAGTCCGCGGACGACCGAGGGTGTCGTCGCGAGGAAAATGAGAGAACGCCAGAGAGATTCAGGCGTGGCCTTTGACTTTATCTGTGTTTGTGTGTGTTTTCTTTTTTTTTTCTTCTTTGACTTGTTCGCTTTTTTCCCTTTCATCATACCTATGGGGATCTTTGAAGGTTCTGGAAGGTCTGAGGGCTTCTAGGAAGCTGAGGAAGCTTGGTAGTAGAGTTGAAAAGTGAGAATTCTTCCGACTAAACTAAGCTTTTAGTAACTGAAAAATATTTTTTTTTTTTTCGAAATCTTAGCTTTTCCCTTTTCTACATACTTCTGAAGATCTTTGAAGATCCTAATAGATCGAAGAAATTCTCGAAAAATGAGAATTATATCTACTACTCTCAGTTTTAAATTTCTATTAGATTTAAGAGAACCTTAGAAAGTTTATCATGGCAGCATATTGAAAAAAAAAAGTGACTGAAAATCAAATTTATTTTTTCAAAAAATAGGAGTGATTAGTAGTTTGAGCTTCCTTAAAAACCAGAACCTTTTTTGAAGCTGAAAAAAAAAAGAAATCACCGTTTTTTTTCCAAGATGAGTCATCCGGAGATTCTCCGTTATGAGAAGTTCAAGGTCTTCAAATAGCTCCTGAAGCTTTTTTATGTCATGAAGGGAGAATCCGAAGAATCTTCGAACTTCATTTTTTTCTTTTAGGTTTGTTTCAGTTTTTGAGATCGTTGAGAAGAGTTTCTACTGATTTTAGGAGAGTTTTTTAGTATTTCTCGAAAAGAGGAATCTTAAAGGCTTTTTTCAATACCTTCAAATGAAAATAAGTTTTTACTCGTCCTTTAGAAAGTTTGGATAGTTTCCAATGATTTTTCTTCAGTGGAAGTTCTGGAGATATCTGTTCTGTTGGGGCTCTTTTTTTCTCAAGTTATCTCAAGAAAGCTTGAAAGATTTTCTTGGAATTGTTGTCATGAGATGTTTTTTGGAAACTCTTTCAGTTCGAAGAAAACATTTTTAGATTTTAAATGTTATTTTTAGAAGCTTTCGGTTTTATTAAAGTGATTTCATTTTTTTCAGGTTTTGAAGGGCTTTTTTGATATTGTCTTTGAGAGTTTGTGAAAAATATAAGTAGTAGATTTTTTTTATTTTTTGGAATTTTCGTTTTGAAATTTGCTTTTTTGAAATCACAGAATAATTTTTTGAAACAAATTCTCTTTTTCCGTATTTATTCTGTTCTCTGAGATGTATCATAAATTCATTCCATCATTTTTTCATGATCAAAAAATGATATATTCTGAAGGTTCAACTCCCTCATTGCTCTTTCTCATTTCATTTCCAAGGTTCCGGATTTTCCTGATCCTTTCTTAATAGGATTAGTATAGTTTTGAGAATTTCAAGCTTTTTTTCTATTAAAAATCTCTTTTTTTTAAACTGAAATTATAGGTTAAAAAAATCAAGAAAAAAATCTATACTTTTATTTCAATTTTATCAAATTTGACTCTATCCTCTTCGAATTCGAGAATGATAAGTTTATTTTGGAGAGAATGCTCCCCAGAGAAGCTGTTTCTTTGATTCCTTCTCTCTCTGGAAAAAAACTTGTTGAGTCAGAGGGATCAGCTGTTGAGTGATTACAAAGGGTACAATTATTTTCCGTTTTTTTTCAGAACTTCAAGGTTTTAGTCATTGTTATTTATGAGTCCTTAGCTTTTTCTTTTTTTGATAACGGTAAGTTTTTGATTTTTAGACTTTCCATTAAATTTTTGAAGTTGAATGTGGTTTTTTTCTTTGAATTGTACCTCTACCAAATCGGCAAGGTTTTCGAAATTTGATTTGCTTGAAAAACGAAATTTTCATTTTAGCATATTTCAAATTGAAATCTTCATTGAAATCTTTTTATAGAGACCATGGAATTTTCATAATTTAGCTCTCTGGGAATTTATTTATATTTTTTTGTAAAGATTTTTTTATGGATTACTGGACAAGTTCGAGTTTCAAAAAAATGATTAGGGGAATCTGAAAATTTTTCAAGAAAAAAATTTTTTTGAGCTCAGAAACAGTTCTGTTTTTTTTGAAAAAAATCGCTCGAAATGAGCTTGGAAGTGATACAAATTTTGAAAAAAAGCTCAAATATCAAAATTATTTCTGATAGGGTTTAAAGGACTGTTCTGATATTGAACAAAAAATTCGAGAAAATCGAAAAACGTTCCACAAAATCTTCGAGACTGTCTAAAAATGAAATTTAGGTTCATTTTTGCATCAGCATCAAGAAAATAAGGAAAACCAGCTTTTTTCCAGTTATCTTTGATCTGTTCGGATCAAAACCTAACTGCTCTTCATCTTATCACAAATGATCTAGAGCCTAAAAAGCTATGCCGAAGCAATACGAGAAATCAGCTGTTCTCCGGGCTGGCCTTATCATCAAGGACGTCGGCGAGATACCAAAGTTCAAAGGAGACTCTGTCTCTCGCCTTAGGCGCCACGACCCCCAGCACCCACACGCTCTCAGGCCCCGCCCACAAGTCTCTCCTGGTGGCGACGGCGTCCTTGGCGCCATCCACCGCCACCTCATATGACCGCCAGGGGGAGCCTTCTGGCTCCGCCCCCTTTCTCCACCTCTCTCAGGTCGTCGTCGGCGACTGCGAGTAGGTCTGCACCCCGAGGTTCCCTTACTTGTTGGTAGGACTTTCCGAACTCCAACAAGATCTTGGCTCGAAGACTTTGACTTGCTTTTTCTGAAAAGTTTTCGGTTTGGCTTCGACAATATGAGAAGATTCTGAGACTAGGACTGAGATTTTGGCTTGGCCAGTTAGAATTCCAAAGATCTTGGTTCGACTCTGTCTTTCTGAGAAGGTTCTTTCTTAGGAAAGTTCTTCGCTTGGCTAGGACTTTCGCAAAATTTTCTTCCGCTCAGATCTTCTGAGATTTTTCTTGACTTGACCTTGGTTATGGTATTGGTTTAATATTGAGGAGGTTTTGGTTTGGCTTCAAAGTTCTAAAAAATTTCTGATTTGGATGAGACTGAGATTTTGGTTCGGCCAGTTAGATTTCCATAATTTTTGGTTTGGCTTGCACCTTCAGAAAATAGTATAGTTTATCCTGGCTAGGCTCGAACTAAGTCTCAAGTTTGGCATGGTCCTTCTTAAAGTTCTGTATTTAGTTTTTGTTCTCTTCTCAAGTTTTTCGGTTTTACCGGCAGAACTGAACCGTGCCTATATGATCCCACCACTTTTTCTTTGGTCTTTTGTTAGATTTGGTCATATTTGAAGCCAGAAATCAGCCTTTCTTGAGGTTTTTGGCGAGACTTCTCCAATACTTTTTTGATCTTGACGAGACTCTCTGAACAGACTTTGGCATCAGAACAATTGAGATCAACTTATTCAAAGAATTCTTCCAAAAAAAAATTTTTCCAATATTAACAGAGTGCTTTCTGAGCTGACGTTCATGGTTTATAGAATTATAGATTTACTAAATCTCTTTCTTCCTTTTTTTAAATTCCTCAGATTCATTCATACATCTTTTTTCTTTTTCTGTGATTTGTCCTGATTTTTTTTCTCTTCCAAGATTTATCATTTTTAATCTATCATAAACGTTTCTTACTTAAAATACCTCGCCAATTGGCATACTTTTAAAACTCTCTAAATATTTCCAGGACCTCAAAACCGGCAAAAAGTCCTTTGAAACAAGGAACGAGACAGGAACAACGAGCAAAATGGCCCGAACGATGGACCCGACCTCGACGAACTGCCTCTTCTCGGCTCAGCTGCAGCAGCCTTTCGCCACGCCTTGGACCCAGGAGGACGCCTGGCACAACGTCTACTCCTGGATCAACTCTCAGGTTTCCTTTTTTCTTTGATTTCTTGTGAATTTCGAGGTTAGCTTGGTGTGTCTGTGGGGATTTTGGTTCTTTTTTTTTGATTTTTTGAGAATTTTAAGCTTTACTGGACTTGGATAGTTATTGTGGTTTCACCTGATTTACTAAAATTATTTCTTGAAGATTTTCAATTTTTATTAAACTTGGTTAGAGGATGGTTTCTGTTGAGTTATTTTTTTATTTTTTGAAATTTTAAAGTTTTATGGGACTGGCAAGTAAGTTCATGTTTTTTTGAGTTGTTTTAATTTTTCCAATTTATTTCAAAGCAATCCGGTCACTAATTTATTGTAGTAGAATCTTAAAAAGCGGGTTTTTTGAAGCTTCAGATAATATTTTAGTGGATTTTTTCCTTGCTTTGACTGGACCTGGCCAGTATGTCTGTCCGGCGGGATCTTCTTTTGATCTTATTTTAAATCTTGCTTTCTGATTTTTCTAGTGATCTCCCCTACTATTACTTGATTTTTTTTTCTCTCTTAAGGGCCAGATTAGCCCCAGCTTTTTCAAAAATTCGCCTTATTTTTGACCCTTTCTATACGGTTAAAGCTCAACTGAAAAGAAAAAAAACTTTGAGAAACATAAAAAAAACCCTTTTTTTCCTACAATTTCTCAGTTTTCAAATCAATTAAAAACCTAAAAACCAAAGAACACATTGAAGTACCGATTTTCACGTGTGCCTGGGGTCTGGGTCTAGGTCTGAAGGTCCAAGGCCGAAATGCCAAGTCAAAAAGCAAAAGAAAAAGTACTCTTTTGCCGACGCCGCCACGTACAAGTGCAACACACGAACGTCCGCACTTTTTGCCGTCTTTTCTCTTTTTTTCGACCTTTTTCCTTGCCGAATCGACTTTGACTTCTTTGCCCCCTTTCCAGTGCCAGGTACTATCTGTTTGAGTAAACTTTTTGGGGACTGACTGGCTGAGGTTTTTTTGTTTGCAAAAGCGCTGGAAATCTTTTTTTCGGGTTTCGGCGGTTACTTCCGCATTGAGCTTTGGTTTGGAAAGTCATTGATTTTTTTGGATTTATAAATCGGGATGAATTTGAAGATAAACAAGAGAATGAGAAGATAGGAGTGAGAAAAATATTAAAAAGTGTTAATTTTTAAAGCATGCTCTGAAGGTAGATTCACAGTGTGAATACGGTTTTAAAAAGTATAGGTTGGAAAACAATTATTTCTGAAATTTGAAAGGAGCATAGGATACCTCTGTAAAGGTCTCGAACCGAAAAGCTTTTTTTTCACATTTTTATCGCTCAAGCCTTCAGATTGAAGCTCCTAGCAAGGCCTTTTTTATTCGACATTCCCTGTAGGGGCTACTTCATTTTTTGAATTCCAAGAAGGGAGAGTTTTCTTTCAAACCAAGTTTTCTGGCTTTTTCTTACAAGGAACTGAACTCCTATCAAAAGATGTTCTTTTTCCATCTTCGAGACTCTTTTTTCCGTTCCACGCCGCGCAATTTCCGCAGCGATTACATAACGGTTTTAGCCTAGAAAGTCAAAGATGCGTTTGGCCTACTTTTCCCCCTTTTTTCTTCTTCGATTCGTTTTTAGACCGAGATAAATTGGGCGATTGCCTTTTTTTTCCTCTCTGCGGGGAAGTTGTAAGAGGAAAAGAATTTTGAAGAAAATCGCAAGGTACCATCACTATAGAGCGAACATGCTCAAATCGTCGCGGCTGTTTTTTCTCAGTTTTTTTTCAGCTTTTCTTTCTGAATCGTTTAGTGTTTATCGTCGCTACGAAAAATTTAGACATATAGAAGAAAAAGAAGCAATTTTTGTCAGTGGAGCACATTCACTCTAACTCTATCGCGGCTTTTTTTTCTCAGCTAGTTTTTCCTAGCTTTTTGCACAGATGTCCATTCTTTCTGAGCAGAAAGGAAAAAACCTCGAAAAAGAAGGGAAAGACACCCCCGCGACGTTCCAACAGGCGCCTGGTACTGCGAGTGGCACCCACGTGATTTTGTGCAAATTTTGATTTTTGAGTGGTCATTTGAGGATTTATCGTTTTTGGAATTGCTGTATCAAATCAGAATTCTATTTTTCAACGAAAAAAAAAGGAAGAATCCCAAATGTTTCGATGTCGATTCTGACAGTTTCCAAAGTCATGTGTGCTTTTTTCTTCAATTTCTTCAAACTTGTTTCCTTTTTTGATTAAACTTCAGTTAAATCTCTTTTAAAGTTTGTCGAAATCTGTAGAATACGAATAGTTTAACCTCGAAATCGGCGGCCTCGGAAAAAAAAGCGATCACATCACTTTCCCTTTACTTTCTCTGTGATGGTTTTTCCGTATAAGGGTCAGCCGGCCGAACAAATAATACTTTCACTTTTTGGATGAGAGTGGTCATTTTAGGAGTTTTTCAAATCAATAATTGTAGTTTAATTGAGCTTATCCTTTTTATTTCAATGGTTAACTTGAAATTTTAATGAATATTTTTGATTTTTTAAGAAAAAATACTTGAAGCTTTGAGATCATTTTGGATCATTTTCATAAGCATATAAGGCGACTGAGCTTTTGAAATCTATATTTTCTGCTCTATTTTTGGTTAATTACCTTGAAAACTTTCGAAAATCGCGATAAGAGAAGACTCTAGTTGTCAACGGAAATTTGAACGCGTTGCTCAGGTTATCGCGGCGTTTCTCAGGGTCACAAAAAGGTTTAAACAGAGAGGTTCCAACCTTGCAGCGTGGTGAAGGTGCCACTCAGTGCCGGGGCAGGAGACAACGAGGAAACGAAAAGAAATAGAAACGAAAAAGATTCGACCAGAGGCTCATAACTCTGACAAGGTCGGGCGAGTTGTATCTTTGAGATTATCTTTGATTTTCTCGCGTCAATTTTAAAAAAATTTTCTGGCCCTTGATTTCAATCCTTTAATGGTTGGTCCTGAACGACGGAAACTAAGGAAAGAATTTGGAAGGCGTCTCGAGACGATTTGAAGTAAAATCAAGACAAAATAGTGTGGAAAAAGTGGAGGTTCAGAGTATCTCCAGTATCTCTACCAAGCTCAATAGTCCATGACCATTTCCCCTCGTGCTTCTAGTCCAGTTAAAACCACTCAACCACCTCTAAGCTGAGCAATACGATGCACGTTTCCGTGTTATTACACGTGTTGTTTGTTTGGTTTAAAGGTGTGGCGCCTGGTGGTACGAGGCTTCGAAAAAAAAAAGAGAAGTAGGAGGTGGAATGGACGGCCATAAGTGACGTCACCACCTGCGCGACACGCGCTGATGTACCAGGACGTGTCGTGCCGAGGTACGCCCGCGGGAAAGATGGTCCGTCCGTTTCCACGGAGATCTCTGGGTCTTTTACATGCTGATGCTCATGTTAGGGGTGGAGTTGGTACGATTTGAATGGAAGCCTGAAAGGACGGGTCATGTTGTTCTTGTTCAGAGGGGAAGTTGGAGCTTATTGCTCATGTTATAGGTCGAGTCGGTAAGATTTGAGTGGTAGTTTGGGAAAGCTAGTTATTTTGGTATTGTTCAAACAGAAATTTGCAAATTTATTGCTCATGTTATAAGAGAAAGAAGCTTTTGAAACGTTCCTAAAGTTACCTAGAAGTTAATTGCTCAGGTTGCAGGTTATCTATAGCTTTTTTTCGAGTCATCAGATGATATTTTATCATATAAAAAACTTGTTGATACGTTTTTTTGAATCAGAGTCTGATCAGAAAGTCTCAGATTAAAAATCAATCTTTTAGACCTTTGAAAGACTAAAAATCAGGAAGATAACGAAAGCAAAGAAAGAAAGGTCAAAAAGGTGGCAATGAAGGACTCGAGACGTTCGGAAAGTTGAGAAGTTTGCACTTGGCCAGCGGCAAAAAGAGTTCCATGTGGCATTCACGTGAAAAATTTCCTTTCTTATATATTTTTTCTTGGCTTTTGAAGGAATTGACTATATTCGAACTCACTTGAACCTTTACCTGAACCAATAAAAGTTGCGAAAGAAAGTGCAGAAAAAAGCAAATAGTTTCGGTGCCTGGCAGTGCCATTCACCTGCCAAAGGTGAACTGCACTTTTAGCGATAGTCTATTGGCTGAATTGGGGATTGATGAGGTGAGAGATCAAGGTTCGAGTCCGGGAAAGGTTTTCGCCAGGTTCTCCTACTTTAAAATAAAGCTTGTTTCCATCCCAATTTTTTTCGTCGACCACCCAGACAGCTTTTTTCTGCAGCGGCGCTTTTTATTACCCTTTGTCCTTTTTTTAATCCGCTAAATTACCCTCCGGCGCAGATTTTTTTTTTCAGTTGTCGTGTAACATAAATCCGAATGAGTTTTTTTTTCGGTCGTCCCTTGAGCCTTTTTTGGTGCATAATGACTTTTTTCGGCCCTTTTATGGCACTTTTTCCGATGAACTTTTACTTTTTTGGAGAGAGGAGGTTTGGAGGGTGTATTTAATCTTGCTTACACTTTTTTTAAAAAATAAAAAAAGTAGGAGAAAAAGGGTCTATTTGAAATTGAAATTGAGCGTGAATGGAAATCAATAGTTTTTTTCTCTTTGAGAAGGAATTTTGAAATAAGTTTTGAAAAAAACAATACCAATTTTTTTCAAGTATTCATATTTATCGAACTTAGCTGAATTATATGAAGCCGAAAAATCATGGTAAAAAAAGTGTAAATTCACGAAATCTTTTCTTTGGTATCTCGATTACCGCTGCTGCAGCAAGAGGGGTTGAGTACGCATTGCATTGCGTCGACCGCCAGCTGGGGGTATAGCTCAGTGGTAGAGCGCTCCCTTAGCATGGGAGAGGGCTGGGGTTCAATTCCCCATACCTCCATAACGTTTTTGCAGCTTCAATATACTTTCTTTTCGTTCACTGAAAGCTTTCGTTAATAATTTTGAACTCCATCAATGACCTTCTAGCTATAAAAATTAACTTTTATTAGTATTTCCTCGAATTTTTTCAGCAATAAGAACTACCAGTTGGATCAACATCATACGCTTATTTGAAATCAGCTTTTCTTAAACTTTTCTTATAATCATTTTCACATTTTGGTCGCCCTTTGAAGTTTTTTTCTCGCTGTTCCTTTCTTTGGTAACACATCAATCATTTTGAAAGTTTCCCAGAGGTTTCATGATGATTCAAAAGAAAAAAAAATGCCGGTTTTGACCGCCGTGCTAGGCACGAGGAATTGTCGCAGCTGACGAGAACGCCCTTGTCTCGACCTTTCAAGGTCTTTTTCCGTGTGTGTTGGTGTCCTTTTCTTATTTCCAAAAAAAAAAAAAATGTAATGAGAACGTCTCGGAACGGAGGCTGTAAAAATTTAATGGCTTTTTGAGTTGTGATCTTGGAACTTCTAAGGCGAATACAATTATTTTGTATACTTCTCTGAAGAAATTATCATATATTCTTATTTTCAGTCGAACGACTCGGAAGGCGGCGACAGTGTCCGCTCCTCGACGTCGTCTCAGCCGCAGAATTCGCCAAAAAGCGGTGGTGGATACGTCTACGACGACTTGGAGCATCCGCTGCTCTGCGATGCTCCGTCGTCGCCTTTCGACCCTTTCGACACCAGCTCCCGACCTTCGCCGCTCAATTTCGCTTCTGCTCCAGCCCCGGCAGCCAACAACAACAGCTGGCTGTTCAATCAGAACCAGAACCAGAACCAAGGCTTCGCCACTGGCAGCGGCTTCCACCGAGCTCCCGTCCAGCCAGCAGCACCCAAGCCTTCCACCGCCAACTCTGACTACAGCCTGATCCACGAACTTGTGAAACTGAACCTCGGCAACACTCCCACAGCTCCCTCTACTCCTCCAGCCGTCGCTTCGACCTCCTCGCCGTGGTCTTTGCCACCAGATGAGCCTGCCTACCGTCCAGCGCCCGTTGGAGCCCGACGTGAACCTCTCCAGCCGGCTCAGCAGTACCAGAACCATGGCAATCTGTGGCGTCAGAACAGCCAGGAGTATCAGCAACAGCAGCAACAGCATCAACAGCAACAGCAGCTGGCCAACATGCAGGAGCTCTTCGCGCAGCTGGTGGCTCAGCCTGAGCTGGCCTATCTGATGCCACAAGCCAAAGTCGCCATGGCAAGGAGGAACAGTAACGCTGTTCAGCTGCACGCCAGACTCGAGGAGGTCAGCGAGGAGTACCGCCAGCTTGAGGTGAGCTCAGAAGCAATTAGCTCAGTTCTATCCATCTCACCTATTTTTTCTGAGAAAAAAATGATGAAATTTTCAGAAGGAACGCAAGCAAACTGAAGCGGAACTGGCGCGGCACCATCTCGGCAAGAAGATTAGCTCCTCGAACGGATTGCCGATCCCGAGGCTGCCGACGGCACCGTCACGCGTCGACCGACTCATCGTCGACTTCTTCCGCGAGCACGCCCGCATCTGCACCCTCCTCACCAAGATGGAGCAGCTCCGCGAGCAGCAACTCCCTGTCGCCGTCCATCAGGCTTTGGAAGGTTCGAGATGATCTTTTAGAAATTTTATCATCTTTGAATCCTCTTCAGAGCTCATGGACGCCATCACCGTCCTTCAGCACCACCGCAACCACGAGCGCAGTGCAATCCTCCAGCAACTCCGTGGAGAGACCGTCCGTTATGATGAGGAGAAAGGTTGGTTTTCAGAAAGAGAGCAGTCCAAGGATCATTTTTTCTGAAGCTCTTGAAGCTCCTCAAAGTGGTAGTTCTCACTAGAACCAATTCTCAGTGACTCTCAAAACTTTGTAGCTTTCACATTTTATAAAATGAAGAACTTTCAGAATCGGCGGCACTGATCCATTCCCTGCAAGTGGTGCGACGAGCGGCGACCCGAGCAAGAGCCGCCAACTGGTGTGGACTCGTCTGGACCCTCGGAGCCGAGGATTTGGCCCAGCAGGCGACCTACGAGAGGCTCGTCGCCTCGGACTTCACCATCGCCCCGCCTCCAATCCGTCCCCGACCCGTCAAGAAGTGAATGAACAACCCCGGAAGCATGCCTTTCATTTGGGCGGAAAAGTGTGGATTTTGAAATTAAAAAAAAAGTTTAAAAAAAAAATGGCTCCGATGCCTACTATCAGACCACTCTTGAAGGTCATTGAGTTGATGCGCAGCCAAATTCGGCTTGCAAACGAGCTCAAATATTTTTGAAAGCTTGCAGAGCCTTTTCCAAATTTCGATACAGAACCATCCATTTTTTTTTCTTCGAAAAAATCCACACTTCTCCCACTTCCCTCCTCTTTTCATATTTTACCTCGACGTTCTGCATTTTATCTTTTTTGTTGATGTATTTGTATAATTAGGAACATTTCCCACCTTTTCATATGTTAGTTAATTATTTAAATTCATTTAATCACAATTAATCATAAAACCGCCCCCGACCAGCATGCATTTCACCAAAAAAAATGAGTTTTGTCTGCACACACACACACGCGTTGTATTAGCGATTGCGGGATAGGCGTCACATTTGGCGTCTATTTTATCATTTTTTTGTTCTGAATTAGGCCAAGCCAATCATTTTTTCTCGCTGTTTTTAGTTCGTTTTTGAGTATCGCTGCTTTTATAACCAGCCTAAAAATTTCTAGATTTTCCTATTAGACTTTTTTTCCATTTTTTTTTTCATAAAAAAAAACATAAACCAGTTCATTCCTTGTACATATTTGGTGTGCTCAACGTGTGTTATAATCTTTTTTTCGTTTGGAATTGTAATTTTTGCCTTGATTCCGGGCCTTTTCTGATAGCAAACGGAGCTTTTCGCCAATATTTCCTTTTTCTTAGTTCACTTTCTAGTTATTTTTCCTCCCTCCATGATGAATTTTAGACAACTTGTTTGTACCTTTGATAGATTTTATTTCACAGGACTTTCAAGCCCTCAATTTTCAAAGTTTTCATTTTTTACTGTCCAATGTTAGCTGTGCTTGAAAAAATCAATAGTTCATTGCTTTTTTTTTTTGTATGATATGTTTTCACCGGCCAATTTTCTTCTACCAATTAGACACCGAGTGCTTTGATTTAGTTCTGTAATTAATTTTTATTGTTGGTCGGGCGGCCATTTAATAATAACTATTATAATCCTCATGATAACCCAGTTTTACGCAATTTTCGTAACTGCAATTTTTCTTCGAGTGCTTCGAAAATGTACCTTTTATTTGTTTTTTCTTCTTACCGAAAAGGAATTGTTGGAATGAGTTCAGAAAAATGAAGATTATTCTTCAAATTGTGTTCTTTTTTTCTCAATTAAAAGGCTCTATTTAATGAATGATATTTTGCTTGAAAAACAAAGAATTTTGATAAAAAAGGGGTAAAATTTCATGAAACTTTAAAATCTCGTGGAACGCTGCTGAAGCAAGAGGGGTTGAGTACGCATTGCATTGCTTCGGCCGCCAGCTGGGGGTATAGCTCAGTGGTAGAGCGCTCCCTTAGCATGGGAGAGGGCTGGGGTTCAATTCCCCATACCTCCATAACGTTTTTGCAGCTTTGATCTAACTTTTTTTTTTCATTCACTAGAAGCTTGCGATGATAACTTCGAACCCTGCCAATAATTTTCTGGCTTCCAAAAATTGATTTCCTTTTTATAAAGCTTCTAATTTTTTGCTTCTTTAAAAATTGATGAATGTCGACAATTATTTTGCTGGTTTCATAAATTAGAAAAGTTTGTCTCAAAGAAGTTCTCAGAAAAATCAAATCGAAGGTATTTAGCTTTTTTTTCGGCTACTTCAATCCGCAAAATGAGGTCAACAAGGTCGATGTGAAAGTTTCTCCGCGCACTTTTCTCCTACAAATGGTTAGAGACGTTTCTGTTTTAGTAATACCAGCATTTTAAAATACGTATGCGAGCTTTAAACATATCGAGTATACCTTTAATGAATTATAAGCTACTGTAGTCAAGGAGCTTTGCTTGCACCATTTTTCTGCGGTGAAAACGCATTTGTTTATTTTCTGACGACTATTGTTCAATGGTTGCTTTTTTTCTCTCTATAATTTTTGATTTTACTTGTTTAATGGCGTGTTCAAAGTGATTCCGCAAAACTTAAAATAGCCGTCAGAGAGTGAAAAAGATAATTGAATTTTGGAGAGTCAGAGAGGATTTTGAATTTCGCGGAAATTCCTTCGAAGACGGCGTCAGAGCGTTAATATCATTTTTTGAAAGTTCATTTAATTGATTTACTGATTATGAAATCACAAAGCTCTGAATTTTAGTTTTTCAAATGGTCTTCAGAGATATATGTCATTTTTCACATAATAACTTTTTTTATGATTTTATGTAAGGTTTTGTTCTGTGCTTTTTGTATAGGCTGACTTAAATCTAAAAAATGAAGCCATTTTTTTTAGCGTAAACTTGTCTTTTTGAAGTTTCATAAGTTCGGAGAGAATGAGTAATTTCCTCAATTCATGACTTTAAGGATCGAATCATAATAAATTTTCAAGCGCAAACAACGCATCAAAGTTCTTATTTTACGCCAGCACAAAAAAGTTGTAATAAAAAATGACGGAGCTCTCTTGTTCCACGTAGCAACCGATCCGCTTCTCATTCATTTGAAACATTTCGTCTTGAAATGTGGTTTTCTTGGTTTCTTCACGAAGAAGTCAAAACAACCACTACTACGGCCTGTATGTTTTGTTTTTAGGGAAAAAGGCGAAAATTTATGCAAAAAGTCTCGCTTATCCGATTTTTGTTAATGCTCATCAGGAAAAACTAAAATGAAGCGCGAAAAATTGTTCCCTAACAAAATTTAGCCGTTTCAAAGCAAATTTGCGTTTTGAGACATTTCCCGTTTCTCAATTGACACAACAGGAAAATTTAGCATTTTCAATGGCAAAACTCGAAGGAGCATATCTTCATGAAGATTTTGAAGCATAGATCATTTCTAAATTTTCATTGAGATCCTTCAAAATTTATATATTTCAAAAAGTGTCTGAAAAATTTTTTTCTAACAAAAGAAATGATTTTTTTTGATGCTCTGAAGTTTGAATTTCTAATTTTGCGATGAGATAGTTGTTCATAACTCGACTATTCTTGGCTTTTCTCATTTTCGAACTTTTTTCAGTGCCTCCACTGCCAGTTTTCGAGCCAATGACGCTCGGCGAGACGTTATTGCCTTTCGTATCGGTGGCGGCCATCTCCTCCACCGTTGCCTTGTTTCTTTGTGGATTCCCGATTATTCAAAGAATCCGATCCCGTGGTTCGACGGAAGGCACCGGTCCGGCGCCTTTCCTCATCGGTAATTCATTCTGGCTTGCACTTTTGATCTTCGCTTAAAGATTTTTAATCCCAGAACAAGAAAATCAAACTTTCGCATGAGATATAAATTTCAATTTATTTGTTCGCATCACGAATTTCGCAAACTACGCAGAAAAAGAAGCGTTACTTGATGCTTTAAAAGGGTGTTATAACTTTTAAAAAAATATTAATTGCGAGAAATAATTTACTGGTTCTCGTTTTAAGGGCTCCAGTCAAGTTACATCAAAAATTCAATCATTTTTAAAGAATCGTCTAAAATTAAAGCTTGATTTTTTTTTTCGAAGAGCATCCTAATACCACTTTTTGATAGTTTGCTTTTTTTTCGAATACGTTGAAAAACGTTTTTTTTTTCTTCAGCTCTCTTAAAATTATATATTTTCCAGGATTCGTTTCGTGCTGTTTCTGGCTGGAATATGGCCTCGTTCGAGAAGATTCCACGGTTATTTTTCACGAATGTCATTGGAACAACTCTACAGTCCACCTATTTGGCCTATTATTACTACATGACGAGGGCTAAGGTTTGTATAAATTATTATTTTCGGATGAAAAAAATTTTTTTTTCTAGAAGTGTTTAAGTTTTTTTGCTTCGAAAAAGGCTGTTTGAAATACGATTTTGATGGATTTTGGTCACATTTTTTTATTGGAAAAATCAAGTTTTTTTACGCTTATTTTTTTGCATCGGAATCGCAAATTTTTCAAATTTTAATTGATTTTCTTTTTTTCCGAGATGATAAATAGATGAGGGCTGAGATCTGAAAGAAATATTTTATTTAAACGGAAAAATTTTTTTCATAAATTTTTTTAAGAAGGCTGTTAAAATTATATTTATTTGAATTCTCGTCCTTTATTTTGATGGAAAAATCGAGTTTTTTTAACTGATTTTTTTACATATAAATCGCAAATCGAAGCCATTTCCCTTTTTGAATCGAATATTGAAATGTTCTCTTTTCATTGGAAAAAGTTTGATTTCAAATTTTTAGTTTTAAACTTATAATTTACAGAGAAGGCTCAACCAAATCATCACTTTCGAGTTGTTCTGCATCTTCTCGATGCTCTACTACGTGAACCTTTTGGGACTGTCAAGATCGGTCGTCGAATCTCACCTTGGGATCGTCTGTATAGTCCTCAATATCGCCACAATCGGGGCTCCGATGTTCGAAATCGGCGAGGTTTTTTTGAACCTTTGAGTTCGTTCACGCTTGAGTGGTCACTAGAGGGACGACCTTGGGGACACTTGAAAGTTCCCCTCAAGGGACCACCTTACCTCCTACTATTGGACGCTGTGGCCATGATAGTGGCCCCTCTATCTCTTTTAAATTTAATAACCAGAAAAAATATTTAAACAACTACTATAAAGACTACTTGAGCTTCACAGACGTAGGGGTCAGACTCTAAACTCCTATAGGGACCACCTGCATAGGCAAAGTCGGAAGGACCTTTCTGGAAGGCTTCTGGAAGGCTCCACAGGAATGTTCCTTTTAGGGTGATGAAGGCTCCCTTTTTGGGCCATTTTCTCAAAAAAATGAAAGGCTTGATAAAGGGAGTCCCTTTGATGCCTTTTTTGAGAATCTCCCGTTTAGCGGCCATTATCCGCCATTCGGACTTTGCCCGAGTGAATTATACTTGTTTAGGGAGCACTATTTTGTCCACTATAAAGGTTTTTTCTCCCTAATGACCACTCTGGCGTTCCTAAGGATATGCCTTTTGTGAAATCTAAATAGAAAGGAAAATTTAAAAAAAAAAATAAATCGTGATATTTATTTTTTGCCGAAATTTTGGTGATTGAAGGAGAAGAATTTGAGTTTTTTGGCTTAATTTGGATTGAAACTATTTCATTCCGGCTCAAAAAAGCCTTTTCATGTGGAACAGGGATTTTTTGAAGTTTGGAAAGAACGGCTGTTTGAACAAAAAACGCGGAAAATAATATTTTGTTCTTGTCGTAGCACCGTATTTTTTTTTTCTTTTTTTCAAAGATTTTTCGTCTCTAAAAACACTGAAATGGTTAAAAGGACGTAAAAAGCTTTTTGAAACTTATTTTTCTAGGTGATCCGTTCGAAAAGCAGCGAATCTTTGCCTTTGCCTCTCTGCGTCGTGAGTTTCGTCCAGACGGTCTTGTGGCTCACTTATGGCATCATCGTAGAGGATATGGTTATTCAGGTACCTTTTTGACTCTTTTTATGATATATCTTGGTTATAGAGCAGAAAAATGATTATTTTTCGAGTTTTGATCTATTTTTTAACTTCCCAAGATCCGCGGTGGACATTTAAAACTGAGAAAAAAAGTTTTTAGGAAGAGTTTTCAGGTCCCCAACTACTTTGCTCTGGTGATTTCGGTCGTTCAACTGGCTCTTTTCGTCATTTATCCGAGCGCCCCGAAAAAATATAATCGATTGAACACGACGGATTTTAATATTTGAGAGTTGAAGGTGTGTTTTTAGGTAATATGGAAGAGGTGGAGAGGAAAAATGAATCCAGGAAACAAAATTAAAATAATTACTTGGCAATATGTCAGCAGAAAATTTCTAACGATTCCAGGTTCCTTCTAATTTTTTTAGTACTTTTCAAATTTGAAAAAAATTTTTCGCTTGGAAAAAAATTCACAAAAATTTGAAGGAATATTTGACATTATTTTAGTAGAAAATTTGTAACGATTTCAGGGTTTTTTCAATTTTTTAAAAAAGTTTCTTCTGTTCTGAATCTTCACAGGGATAAAAAAATTCGAAAAATGTAGACTGAAATATTTTCTTATTAAACCCACATTTTGGTGGTATGAAAAAAACACCAGCGAAAATTCAAACGACGACTTTTCCGATTTTTTCGTATCGCTAGGGAACTTTCCGACGGCCACCTTTCCGACGAATCTTTTTCCGACTTTTTTTCTCGATAAAATCTTCGTTTTGATCTTCCTATATAAAGTAGGTGGTTGGTTCATGATTAAAAACACAAAGAAATAGGGAACAAAAAAATGTTAGTAGATAAAAATATAAGGGAAAAAAAGTCGGAAAGGGATCCGTCGGAAAAAAGTGGCCGTCGGAAAGTTCCCTAGCGATATGAAAAAAATCGGAAAAAGTCGCCGTTTGAGTTTTTCGCTGGTGTTTTTCATACCACCCACATTTTGTGTTAAAAAAATTTCATTTTTAGCCTTTCCCATAATTTCAAAAATATAAAAAAATGAATTAGTCATTCTCAAATATTCTTATCTCTAAAAAAATTATATTTGACGAAAAAAATTAAAATTAAATATTTCAGATCATCATAATACCGTCTTTTTTCCGGCTTATATCTTTTAATAATATCAAAATTGCGTTTTATTGTACATTCCCCAACTTTTCCTTTCCATTATCCGCTTTCATGTAAATTATCATTTCTTGTTTAGATTTTTATTTATTGGTTAATTTTTATGGGTTTTGTTGTACTGAAATAGTCACTCGCAAAGGTTTTTTTTTCCTTTTTTTGGATCTCGTTGTAATTTCTTTTTTGTAAGGGTTTTTAATGTTCTGTTCATATCGGATGACTGATTTCCCGGTTTGGAAATGAAAAAGATATCTTATTTTAATTGTTTTTTAAGCATTTTGATACTGTTATGTGGCTGGCGAATGCTTTCCTTTGCTTGTTCTAAATTTTTTTCAAAAAAATTTTTCAATTTTCCGGGGAATGAAAAGTGAGTTTTTTTCCAAGTTGGGATAAAAAAGGAAGCATTCATTAATTTCGTAACATTCACAGGGCAAGAAAAAGGATATTATTTACAAGATTTTCCTTGACTAGTTGTTTTCCCAGTCGCTGTCGTTGGCGAGAACTTGTTCGCCGGCGAATTGTTGGCTCATTTGCTGGGTGAAGCAAAAGTCCGTTTGGCCCATCAGGATTCGTCGTAACTGCAATCAATATCGAGGTAACGATAATTTCTCAGAAACATCTTTCAAAGAATTGTGGCCTCTTGAGCGTTTTTTTCTGCAAAAAATGTAACAAATTTGATTAATTCTATACAAAGTTCACTTCAAGATCTTTTTTTTCTAATTTTCAAAAGCAAAATCGCGAAGAGACAAAAATCGTTTTTCTATTTTAATAAGTGACATTCCCGCTTAAAATACACTATAATAATACAAGATTCTCTAGAATATAGTTAGCTTTCCAATATTTTCTGCTGAGTGTGATAGAGCCAAAGAAAGACAATTTTTTTGATGATTTTAATCGGTAAACTATCCATATTTGAAAGTTATTCTTCAAGACTTTTATAACAGTTTGTGACTATGTTTTCCAAGCCACACATGTTTGATAAATGATTGATAAGATAAGATAAAAATGAATATTGACGAGATACTCATCTGATACATGAGGGAAAAAATATTTAGGGGGCTTAACTTGGCTCTTGTTAAGAGTATTATCATGAAATGACGGTGGTATGAAAAAAAAACCAGCGAAAATTCAAACGGCGACTTTTCCGTGTTTTTCATATCGCTACGGAACTTTCCGACGGCCACCTTTCCGACGAAACTTTTTCCGACTTTTTTTTCTCGATAAACTCTTCGTTTTACATCTTCCTATATAAAGTAGGTAGTTTTTTCATAATTAAAACACAAAGAAATAGGAAAAAAATGTTCATAGATTTTTTATAAACCGAAAAGCATAAGGGAAAAAAGTCGGAAAAGGTTTCGTCGGAAAGGTGGCCGTCGGAAAGTTCTCTAGCGATATGAAAAAATCGGAAAAGTCGCCGTTTGAATTTTCGCTGGTGTTTTTTTCATACCACCGAAATGACACGAAATATGGAAAATTTCAATTTTTTCATAGTTCAACATCAAGTAATTTTCTACATCATTAACCTTTTTATTTCTTCTCGGCTGCCTTGGTTCACTGGGTTCTTTTCTTTTCTTGGCCTTTACGGAACCATTCGAAGATTTTTTGGAATTTAGAGGCGTGACTCCAACCGCGGCGGGTGGCGGGGTTGGTGCAAGGTGCTAAAAATGACTAATTCTCAGAATTTTTTGTCATTTTTACCTCGACCATATTTTCCATCTGATCAAAGTTCATCATACTGAATGAAAGGTCGACATCAGCTTCCATTGGTTCTTCGGGAGGCCTAAAAATTCTATATCCCATTTTTCATCTAAATTGTCTGCGCTCTCTTTTCTCTATCAAGATCAGAGAAGAGCCGACGGCAACGTTTCCCGGAGTGACCCGATATGCATAACTGTCAAATTGTCGGAATTTTTCGAGGATTGAGAGAGCGCAGACACTGTCAAGTACCTCAATGTTTCTTCTGGATTATCCCCTTGATCAATCAGATCAATATCTTCCCTCAGACTGGTCAGTGGCGCCGAGGTGTTCTTTTTCAATTGCGGAACTCTGAAAATACAAAAATCCTTGAAAAATTCGGATTTTTCCACCTTGAGTTATCTCCTCCACTATTGACCGACGTCGACTTCTCCAATTGAGGACGTCTTCTGGAAGCGCTGCTCCTAGAGTCTTCGTCGATTCTGGAGGCGTTGACAGGGTCGGACCGGAAGCTGCGTGGAGCTGGAACAGTTCTCGACGCTCCAGCCGTGCTGGAGACGGTCTTCTTGGGATTGACGTTTTTTGTGAACTCTCCGATAATGGAACGGGTAGGTTCCTGCATCCTAGAACCATCTTTAGAAGTGTCACTTCTAGTGCTGGCACTCCTGGATTGATTCGGCATGGCTTCGTCAACGTCGTTTTGGATTCTGGAGCAGTTTGGAGGGGCGTCCTGATTCACAGAGGTATTGCTTCTAGAACTGTTCTTTCTAGAATGGCTTGGCATGAGCTCATCGTTCTGTGTTCGGGAGCTTTTCCTTCTGGATTGATTCGGCGTGACTTCATCGACGTCGTTCAGAATCCTGGAGCGGTTAGGAGGGACTTCCTGGTTCACAGAAGTCGTGCTTCTGGAGCTGGTTCTTACAGGATGGCTTGGCACGATTTCTTCGACATCTTTCTGCATTCTGGAGCGGCCCTGGGCGAGGCTGTTGGTTTGGGAAGAATGGCTTCTGGAGCTATTCTTTCTAGATTGAATTGGCATCGGCTCGTCGACGTCGTCTTGAACTCTAGAGCTGACTCTTCTAGAAAGACTTGGCGTGGCTCCTCCATCTTCCTGCCTTCTGGAGTCGTTTATCCGAGAAGCATTGCTCCTGGAGCTATTCCTCCTTGATTGATTCAACATAGCCTCTTCCTCTCTTCTCGATGTTCCCCTAGAAGGAATCGGCACGACTTCCATCACGTCATCATCCTGGTTTCTGGATCTGGTTCTTCTCGATTCAGCCCCTTCAACCTCTCTTCTGGACTGTTCTGGCATGGGTTCATCGAGACCTTGAGGCTCATACGGCATAGGTTCTTCAGGAATGACATCGGTATCCATTATGGAGTTCATCGGCACGGCTTCTTCGACGTCGATTCTTCTGGAGCTGTTACGTCTGGACTGATTCGGAAGGACGTCTTCATTTCTCGACCGATGCAGAACGTCTTCTACGGCGTCTTGAGACCCGGTAGCTCTTCTGGAGAGATCCGGCACGGCTTCTTGACCAGTCTCCGCCTCATCAGCCCTTCTGGAGCGCTTCCGAACGTCTTCTCCTTGCTCCTGAGACCCGGTCGGAACCCTTGCCGGCACTTCTTGTGAGGCGAAAACTCGCGGCTCGACTTCAACTTCAGCCGAATCTCGTTTTTTGCTTTTCGGACCTTTCCGTGACGTCTTCTTGGCCCTTGTCGTGGATTCTTCGGTTCTGAACCAACGAATTTTTCCATTTTTTTTTTCAAAACCTGGAAGACTGCTCCACATTGTTCTGCACGACTTCATTGACATATTCCTCGTCTTCATCGTCATTTGTAGTGCCAAGAATGAAGTCGGCAGTGAAATTGGTATGGGACTCGATGGACACGATTATTGGCCTAAACTCACGATTTTCAGTAGGATTTTCATATTGAAATGTGAAGCCGGCTCATATGTATTTGAATAAAAAATTTTAAAACCTTTTTTCTCGAATTTTTTTTTGTACTATGATCTCTCATGGATTTTGTAAATGTTTGAAGACTTTAAAACTGGTCATTTATACTGAAATTAAATTTTTTTTATGTTTATTTTTTTATCATAGTTTATAAAAAAATAATAAAAAAATAGACCAACTTTCCCGGATGATCGTAGTACAAGCTCAAGACGCTCATGTGCTGGTCAGCGAACATGACGATCGCCTAAATTTTTTAATATCTTTCTCAATCTTTCTCGATGGTTCGCAACAAAAGAAGGCCTAAAATAATTCAAAAACAAAGTAAGTTCCTATATGAACAGTTTTCATGTTGTAAATGACCCAAAAAAATTCTTTATTGAAGAAAAAAATAAGAGTTATTTCGAAAAATGACGATTTTCGTATTTTATAAGCTCTAATCGGTAAAAACCCCCGAATGCCTAGATTTTTATTTTTTAATCGATTTTTAAAAAAATGAATTAACTTCGATAATTGAAAAAAACCAATTTTTAAATCGAAGAACCGAAAAATCGGAAATAAAGCTCATCTTTTGAATCAATGATTTTTTTTCAAAAAAAAAAATTGGGGCTTGGCTTTTTTCAAGTATTCATTTTGCTGCAGAAACTGCAATTCAACAAGTTGAAATTATTTTTTTCAAATTCAGGAAAGACTGTAAAATCGTTTAGCTCCCAAAAAATATTTTTATTCCTTTTTTTTAAAAATGTAATCGGTGAAATTTTTGCTCTAATTACACTAAAATTAAAATTTATAGAATATATTTGATGGAAAAAAAAATCAATGAAACTATTTTCAGCTTTAAAAAAGACGGAAAAGCTTCCGAAAAATAGATTTTTTTTAAACTGATACCAAATTTTGCGCATTTTTCCGATATAAAATTCGAATTTTCACTGTTTTGAATCATTTTTCTCACCGAGAACTCCCGAAGACCCAGACAGAGCTCCGTAGACAAGCTGACGTCATGACGAAGGAATTTCTCAACGTTTATCGAAGCTTCCGTCTTGACGAACCGTTTTGAAGCTGCAAAAGCGTCCCTTTTTCATTTTGAGTCCATTTTTTCAATCGAAACTGACATCTGGTGTCGGTCAGTGTATAGTGTCCCATTGTCGCGTCGTTCGATTGATAGTTTTTGAACTGGAAAAGATCCTTATTGGCCACAATTGTGAGTTCTTCGCTGTCGCTGCGGATTTGCTGCAGGATCGGGGCGATTATCCTGGAAAATAATTTTTAATACAGACAATTTCTGAATTTTAATAGAGAGAATAGCTGTGATACTAAGAAATAAGGAAGAAAATCCCGACAGTTCAACTATTTTTTTTTTTGCAAGTCGAAGAGAGTTTATATCCGTATTCATAGAAGTTTTCGTGAAATTATCTCTGACTCTCCAAAATTTAGTTGTCTTTTTCACTCTCTGACGGTTATTTAGAATTTCGCGGAACCACTTTGAGCATTTTACAGTAAAAATTGATGAAAAATCGCTTGAAATTCAAAAATTTGTCCACTCAAGTGGAAATGGTGAAACAGGTTCTTGAAATTTAGATCGTTTCTTGCTTAATTTTTTTATAAGCTATAAGAACGATTTTTTTGAAAAAAATCTTCATGAGGTGTTTGTCTATCAAGACCGAGCTTCCAAAAAAATATTTTTTTGACAAAAAAAGCAGTATTCCAATTTTTTTCGAAATTTCTTTCCAAAAAAATCATCCTTATTTTTTTGAGTATTTCTCATTGAAAAGCTGGAAATATCATTTTTGGTTATTCAATTCTTCTGCGGCTCCAAAAACCTAAACAAAAAGATACTAGGAAAAATAGAAAATATGAAGAACGAATAAAAAACTTTGAGAAAATGAGAAGACTCTTAGCTAGACCAGAAGAAGAGAAGAAATCGGAAATCTCAAAAATTAGCAACATTTTCTGAACTTGAAAGAAAAGAAGGAAATAAATAAATCTGAAAAATATGGAGAAAAACTGACTCAGCGGCCACAACCGTCACATTTCTCATGTTATCTTTCGAAACGGGAGGTTGAGGCGTCCGACTGGGACATTCCAACAGTTTGATGTTCAGAACACGAGAAATATCTGGATATTGAAATTATTCTCAGAAAAAAACTGATTCAAACCGTAGCTCATAAGTATGCTGACGAGTAGAAAATCACTATTCGGGTCGATATTCATTTTGCAAGCCGTAAAATTCTTATCCGTATAGTTGACCCCTTTCAACATCATCAACGCTGACTGAAAATATTATATTTTCCTTTATTCTCTTCAAATTCTCTAGCTGAGAACTTCAAAGGAGCAGAAAATAACTTCAATTTCTTGAAGCTAAAACCGCTTTCAGTTTTATTTCCGGTTAGAAAAAGATGTTTGAACAGAAAAACTATTCACTTTCATCGAAATCCGACAAACTTGCGTCTCATTTCTGACCAAACTCGTGTCGGATTCGCTGAAAAAATCAGGCGAAAACCGGAAAACCGCGTGAGCTGTTTGAGATCGATTGAAAGACTTTATCGATAGCTGAAATTTTAAAGAAAATCCTTCAAAAGCTAGAATTTTGACTTACTCCCTCATCACTCGTTTCCAAATACAAATCCTCCGCGATTTTGCTCAGCGCGCAAATTGAACGCCAAAAAACTGAAAGTTTTTCTTTCTTTCCTCTTTAAATGCCTCTGACCTCGTAGGTTAGAATGGATAACAAATTCAGCGCCTTTTATGTCATTTCCGTTGACAACTTCGTCTCGAACTCGCACAGAAACGCGGCTTCCCAGTGCACTTGACGGCGGATTATCGTCCATTGCCGACATTCTCGCATTAATCTCTAAAGTTCCGTGAAATAACATGATAATAAAGCATTGAAAAATAAACGTTGACTTAAAAAAAGAAAAGAAAAAGACTCGCGTTTTGAGAATAGTCAAAGAAATTGTTTTTTTGAAGTTTGAGTAACATCGATTCAATACAAGTTCAGCTAGGGATATTTCGTTCAAAAAAATTATTGATAAGTTAGAAAAACAGAAGCACTTTTTAAATTGAATAAACAAAAAAATTTTTTGAAAATTTCAATTTCTCGCCAGAAGAGGGCGCGTTCGGCTCGCATTTTAACTGCGCCCGTTTTTGCGATTAACTATGAAAGTTGGAAAAATTTTTAAAAACTTTCTTTTTATTTTAAAATTATTGCTCTGTAGACATCCTGAAAGGTGTGTCAACTAACATAGAATAACTCTTCATAATATTGTAGCGGAGAGCCGTCATTCAGAAAAAAAGATGAAATATTTACTTTGAGCTCCAAAACCTCTTTCGAAACAAGTTTAGACTAGTTTTAAATTAGTCTGGACTAGTTTTTTTGGGAGGAAAACTTTGTTCAAAGATTTCTGTACATTTCTCTATTTTTTTTCAAGGGTTCTGAGTTTATTGGATTATTTTTTGAATCTATTGGAAACCGATGCTAAACTGATACTTCAGTTATTTTTTATTAACTATATTAATAACCGTTTTCAAACTTTTTGATGATTGGAATTTCAGTTCTCTTTATTTATGCGTTTCAATTCATTTTATTTTTATCTTTTTGTGTTCAAAGTGATATTTTTCCCTCATCAAAACAGTTATTTATTTATCACGTGGTAAGTTCATGTGAGCTCTGTTATTTTTTCCAATTGGTGACTATTTTGGATGAATTTGAATAATCAACTTTTTTTACGAGCTACTTGAAATTTTCTAACCACGGTAAAATGGTAAAAGATTCTTCACAATTTTTTGAAGTTCTATAGAAAGATTGTGGTAATGGCGCATGCCCAGGGAACTACTTGGTTTAATATTTTTACATTAACTGTTTTTTTATCTTAACATGATCTTTCTTAGTTTTCATTCTAAAACTCTTACCGAAGCGAATAATTAGATTCATAACAGATTCCTCAACCCGCAAGGCTTCCCGGAAATCGCCCATCCTAGGTTATAACTTGTGGGTGTCGGAGGAGGAAAAGTCGAAATGCAAATATTTTTGGAAGGCCTTAGAGATTTGTGCACTCGTACGTGCCTAGATTGTTTGGTTTTGGTCGATTTTGAGGTTTTTTGTGTTTTCAATCCAACTTGCATTGATTTTGGGCGCTTATAAACAATCTTGACGAATTCCGCCATCTTGCTAATCCACATTGATTTGAGGGCAATTCATCACGTTCGAGAGATTTTATGCGAGAATTTCGGGGCACATAAAAGTGGCGTTCGTCCTTGTGGAGATGGCTCCCATGGGCTGATTTCTTTCATTTCATTGGTTCAGGCTTGATATTTTCAGTGGTTGAAGATTTCTTTTTTTTTTTCTGAATTCGTGAGCTTAAAAGATCTTTTCTGTACTTTTTTTCTGGGCCATTTTGCACCTGGTCAGCATAAAAAAGGTCGGCCGCGCAAGGTCTCACAAACGTCGTTTCGGATGACCGGATGAGTCATTTTCTGTTCCTTCCACTTTTTTTTTCTTCTTCCGAATCTCTCCGATTTCCCTCGTCAATGGGTTTACTTGGTCGTATGGACCAGGTGTTGTGCTGCCCTGCACGAACTTTTTTGTTTTTTTTTTGAGTAGCAATTATTTTGGAAGGCTTCTTTTTTAAACGTTTTCAATCTTGATTTTTTAAATTTCATTGTTGTAGGAAGTTTTTTCTAAATTAGCATCGTAAGGTTTACACCTAAAATTTTATTGCTCGACATAATTTTACATATTTTTCATTTTTTTCAGCAATTCTACTGTAAATTTATGTTTTCTTCATTAAAGCGAATTTTGATTAAATTTCTCCAATTTTATTTTTGAAGAGAATTTTTTTACGTCTGCCAGAATTTTTTTGCTGTTTGTTCAGCCGCGTTGTGGTCACTTTTTCCGCCCCTAATGCTCCGATTAGCATTTTTTTCTTTTTAATATATGTTCTCATCAAAATTTCCAAAAATTTTTTTAAAAATTCATTTCCAAGATTTTTTTATTCCCTTTGAAGTATCTGAAGTCAGTTTCATTCCTTGCTCATTTTTGTGCATGTTATCAGTTCGTTTCGAAAGGTAGAACTTCAAAAAGCTTTTCCGAGATCCCATTGAAATTATACTATAAATTGAACTTGAAACGAACCGAAAAAGGGGTTCAACAGAGGCAAAACGACGATATTTGTTGACCGAAAGTCCCTCTCGCCGTTTGCTTTGTGATCTATCCTCCCTATTTGCACCCATACTCTTTTTTTTGGGTCGATGAATCGAATTTCTGACTTCTTCCGTTTCACCTGCGGCCATTTTTTGTAACAATATTTATTTTTGAACACATTTTGAGTCGTATTTTGTATCCAGGTGGTCCATTTTTTCTTATTCTGGTTTCCTTTCCATTGAAAAAATTTTTATCACGATGTCCATATCAGAATCGATGATTTTGAAATGAGTTTGATGATTCAACGTTTTGTATTCAAAAAGCTTCCCTTCTGCAGTCTTGCAGACAATTTAGTTATGAAATAGTTTTTCAGAAGTTCAAAATTTTTTAAGTGATGTGAAAGGGATAATAATGTTTGCAATGTGATGTTTCATTCTATTTTGATGGTTTTCAGTGTTTTTTGAATTAAAGGAAGCTTTTTGTGTTATTAAAAGTCTTGGAAGAAAATTGAAGATAAAAATATTTTTTTCCGGCAGCTTCGAAATAAGTTTTAAAGTTAAAAAAATGAATAAGTTTCATTATTTTTTTGATTTTTGAAAATGTTATGAAGGCACATGTAAAAAAAGCGATAAAAAAATATGTCATGTGCAAAATTTTATTATTGAACAATTTTTTTTCATGAATAAAGGTAATTTTTTTCCGGACAAAAAAATTAATGTAGCTTGAAATTTCAGCTCGAGCTTCAGACGAATAAGCAAGAAAGCTTTCATCTCATTTTCTAGACCAGAATTGCTTGAAAAGAAAATTTTTTTGCTTGTTTTTTTTTCAAGAAAACGTTATTTATTCATCGAGCAGCCTCGAAGAAATGAGATCCGAGAAGAGCACAGAAGAGTAGAAAAATAAAATGGATATTTTCCCTATTTTTAATTGTTTGAAAATATTTCGTTGATAAAACTCGAAATCCCTTAAAATATTTGTTCAGAGGCTCTGAAACATTTGACAAAAATCGATGAAGAACCTGTCGAAGAGGAAAACGGACACAGGAAAGCAAAAATGAGAAGAAACGGGGTGATTTTTCTCTTCTTTTTCTGTTTTCCTGCCCTCCTCGTCTCTGATCGGCCAGGGTCTTTCATTCAAACTGATGAGTCATCTTGGTGGGAATCACTCACGTTTTTCACTCGTTTTTAGTTATCTTCATTGCTCTCCTTGTTCTCGTTTAGTCTTGCGGTCGACGAGCCTATTTTTATCAGTTGGTTGTCGTTCCTTTTCTTGTGCATCCGAAGAAAATAAGGAAAAATAGGTTTCTTACATTTTCTGGTAGGACTTGGCGTGCTTTCATTAATCATTGGAACATGGCTAACTTTAGTTTAAAAGTTCATGTTGAAACGTATCAAAATGAAGAAGCTTGAAGTTATTAAAACTTTTTCATAGATATAGACGTCATTTTTCGAATTTTAAGCTTGTGATCAATATTTTCATACATATTTAGATTGAAATTTTTTTTGTGATTTATTTTTTTCGGTTAGAAAAAGGCTTAGGGGATTGAAATAAGTCGTTGAAAAAGTTATTTTCTCCTGTTTTTTTGTCGTGTTTTTTTGATAAATTTTTTTCCTCTTTTTCCAACAGTTTTTTTAGCATCCAGTTAAAAATATTTCACTTCGTCACTTTTAAGTAATTTTCAGCTATGGTGTTTCTATTTTTTTAAATTTTAACAAAAAAATAATAACATTATGATTCTTCACTATTAACCCTTTTTCGGCTTGTTTATGATGAAACAAAAAAAAAATGGAAAATCGGGCTTTGAAAGCTTTTTTGTCCCATTTTCACTCTCTTCCAATACTCTTGACGGAATTTTTTGTTTTCAAGATTTTTGAGACTCTTGTTTTTTCTACATTAACTATTTTTCCACCTAGTTCTGGTGTTTTTCTTTTTTCTTTTTGAGAGAAGGAAGTGAAAAAACATTTTTTTTCCTTTTTTTTTCAACAATTTTTATATTCCAGGACTCGCAACAAACCATTTTTCAAAGAAAAAACTTTCACGAAATTAAATTTCGACGTTTCCAGGCTGTCCCCATGTACATTCTGCTTTCAACTCGGTAATTCAACTCGATGGGCATGGATTCGGCGGCGAAATTGCCAGTTCCGAAGCCGCGGACGCGGTTCTCCTCAGCGCCCAAGGAGGCGGGAACCGTCTCGGGTCCGGCGCTCGAACCGGAGGTATTTCCTTGACGTCTTTATCTTAAGTTTCTGGTTGAACTTATTTGATCTATTTCTTACTATTCTTTCCCTTTTGAGCTTCAAAACCATTTTCTACAATGCGCGCCTGTCTTTGTGAATGAGCCTTTAAAGGAACAGGCTAAATTAAAGGCGCATGATCAGCGAAAAGTCGTGTTCGGATGAAAGGGGCTTTGTAGCTATGCAGAAAATGAGGCGACATTTTTTTGATCCTTAAAATTTTTGTATTTCAACCTGTTCTCTTCAACTTTTCAATGGCGGGAAAAAGACTCGTCAAAAAAAATAGAACTTGTTTTTCTCTCCTCTTATAAAAAAATAATTAACTTTATGTAAGTGAGCATTTGATATAGTTCGTAAAGCTTGATAATTTAATATTTTCTTTTTTCAATTTTAAAGTTTTGAATTGAATTGAAAAGAAAGAATAAAAGAAAAAGCCGAAAAAAAGTTGAATTTGTTGGTGAGAAAATGTTTATTTGGATCATAGGACCGTTCTGAATCATCGCAGTAACAATATTTCCTTCATTTTTCTTTTTTTTTCGCAGCAAACTGTAGAATGAAACCTGTTTCAAACTTTTTATTCTTCTGGTCGCATGTTGAATGGCTCGAAATTTTTTCCCAGCTGTTCTTTGTGAAAGACTTCATGATAATTATTATATCAATATCGATTTTGCTTATTTTCTTTTTTAAAGCTAGTTTTTTTCATCTTGAATGATCATTTTTCTCCCCATTAAAGTTTGAAAAACTTAAAAAGAAAGTTGAAGTATCTGAAATATTCGATTATTTTTAACTTCTTTCTAGAAACCCAACAAAAAAATAACGGATTCCCGGACAGTCCAACCCCGCAAATGATCAAGCAAGCGTTGGAAAATGTTATCGAATCGAATTTGTATCCGTTTGAAGAGGCCGGAATCACCAAGGGCAATAATTATGGTTGGTTCTTTTTTTGAGACATTGAAATCTGAGGTTTTCGTTCGCTTTAAAAACAGAAAAGATTTTCGGGTGAATTTTTAAAGACAAGAGTTCAATAGAATGTTTTATGTATTCGGAAAGATTTTTTTCATCATTTTTTTATTAGGTTTGAATGACAGCCAAGAACGAAGAACTTTAGAATTTTTCTAAATTTGATAACCCGAGAAGAAAAATGAGGTCTTGAATACAGAAAAAAATTTGAACTTTCTTATTTGAAGGTAACAGGTAAAAGTTTCAGTAAACTTCCCGCCGCCCGCCTCAAAACAGCCCCCACAAGCCCCGGCCGTCCCTGCCAAGCCGCAAAGGTTCATCGCCAACGAAAATTTCAACAACGTCGTGAGCGAACTGTCGCTGAACATGGTCGGCAAGTCGTCGTCGTCGAGTTCGGCCGACAGTTCGCTCAGTCCGCCGAACAAGGCGGCCTCCGTCCCTCCACGGCCTCCGCCTCCTCCCGGCTGGAAAATCGACCTCGACGTCCCGGCTGTTCCGCCCGTGGTTAGTAGTTATGGTCAATTGGGAGTAGGCTTCTAGTTTTCAGTTTCTTTGTTTACTAGTTGCCGAAATTAGTGGAGTTTGTAGTTTGTAGACCCTCTCAAACATACGTGGGAAAGTACAGAATTCAATTTGCACACAAAATAATTAAAAATTTGAGTTTTAAGCTTAGGAAGGTAGTGGTAGAAACAAAAAAATGAGTTTATCTTCAAAAAAATAACGCGTTGATTTGTGTTTAAAAAAAAGGTTTGAGATTAGAAAAAGTGACCTTTGAATATTGTTTGCCCCTTCATGCTTTCAAAAAGAGAAACTTTTTTTCAAAAAAAGTGTTGGAGTCAGACAAACCCCCAGGTTTCCAAAAAAATTTTTTTCTCAAGTCTTAGAAAAAAAGGTTCCGTCATGCTGTCTATTGGCTTTCTTTGATTAGCCTTTATTGACTTCTTTTGTCACCTTTTTTTCATCATTTTTTTGAACCTGAAAAAATGTTCCATACATTAAGTTTTTTCAATTTTGCTTGGTTTTTTAAAGCAAAAGCTAGATGAATGGGATAATTTTAGAATTACCTTTCGAAAAGTCGCGGAAAATTTCCATGATTCCAAACTACACGAAAGCTTGTTGAATTGCCGAGGTTATTGGCAAGGTGCCAATTTTGAAACCAAGCCATTTTAATCTCAAAATAGAGAGGATTAATCATAATATCCACCTGCTCAGATAATTATGACTTAGCGGAGGTTAGACTACGAACATCGTACTTTGGAATATATCATTCTGATACATACTAATTTTAACTTTGAAAAAAAGCAGCGAATAGATTGTAGACGCTTCCATTGAGCGCAAGCCGTTTTGGGTCGGATGCCCCTTGAAGAAACCGCTCAGCAGCCATTCCGCGTGCCACTTTGAATAATTTTATAACTGTTCCAACTTGACACAAATTTACACTGCTTTTAGCAGTTTTCTTTGAGCTTAAGCGCTGCAATTGAGCGTAAATCGTTTTGGGTCGGGTATAGCAACCCCGAGCCATTTCTAAATAACTATATTCCAGTTTCAATTTTGCAGGACTACCGGCCGGCTCCGCTTCCACCACGCGTGGCTTCTGTTGCGGCGTCGATCGCCGCCAGCAACGCGGCTCAAAAGGCAAAGCGTGTCGCCCCGCCTCCTGTCCCTGAAAGGGCAACTTCGAGTCCTCTGGAGTAAGTTTTGAGTAGAATTTTTCAATTTAAATTCGATTTTCGGTACGTATCGTGAATTTCTAGGGTTTTAGCTTGGAAAAATTAGAAGGTTTCGAGGACTTGAACAGGTTAGGACTTCTATCTTTCTGATTGAAGTTTGAGCTTATTCCTATCCTTTTATTTTTTTATCAATTTAAACGAGTTTTTTTGAGAAAAAGTTAGTGCGCCGGTTATTGCAGGAAAAATAAAAATTGAAACGACAAATAAAAAAATGAAAAAAATAAAAAAACGACGTTTTTTTGGATTACTGTGATCAATTTTAGTTGAAACGTGATCGTCTAGAAAAAAATTGAAATTTGAAAGTTTTAAATTTTCCTGACATTTTTTTATCTATTTTTTTCTTGTATTCTGACGTTTGACAATGTTTTGTGAGCTCTTTTTTTCTCTTAATGAACTTCATAAAAACCCAGTTTTTTTCTTATCTCACTCAACGGAGACAGGTGAAAATAATTTCATTTGTTTTTTTCTTGGTTTTTTTGGTGTTTATAAGAGTTTCTCCGAGTTTATTTTTTTACATATTTTTTTATTCGATTATTGATGTAATTTGAGTAGAAAAAGAGAGATTCAAATCCATAGAAAAAGAGAGATTCAAATCTTTCTGCTCGAAAAATCAGAGAAAAAAACAGTTTTCCAAGATAAACATGTATATATTTTCGAAGGAATCTTTTTTGGTTGTGCTTTGAGACTTCAAACTAGAACAAAAAATTATGAAAAAGGGCAATATAAAAAAAATGTAGTCAGAAAGTTGTAGCTTTTGTCTGAACCCATACATCGGGTTCATCTACGGTACCCTTCATTTCTTTCAAAATTCTCCAATTTAGGTCATGGGGAGAAAATATAGCTTCGAAAGATTTAACTGTTTCGCGGCAATTACACAATTTTAATGTAATTTCGAAAAGTACTAAATATGTCTCCCTGTTAATGAGTGCGAAACGTTTGAATTGCTCGGAATTTCCTCGAAAAAGTGCGCTCCATTGATAAGGACGGGTTTCTTAAGAATCTTCAACCCGTTGAATTTTGAGAACGTTTTTCAGAAATTTTCTTTACTTGAAAAAAAAAACAATTGAAAAATAGCTTTCAAGTTTTTTCAGAGTTTATTTGAGTAATAACTCGGACATTGGTAACGCGAAACGGACTTGCTCTGGACGCTTCTGGGCAATTCTAGGGATTACTTAAGAGTTCTGACGCTCCTAAAGCGTTAACTGGAAATGCCCCGACACGTCCGATTCGGGTCCCGTTCGCGTTACCAAGGTCCGAGAGGTATTAATAAACTCTCATAATAACATGGAAGCGGAAACCACTATTTTAAGAGCGCTCCATTGATAAAATTCGCATTTTTGTTGGGAAATATATGGCCTCAGGAAAAGGAAACAATTTTTTTAAAAAAAGTAATAAGATTTTCAATGTTCAAAAAGTTTTTTTACTACGCGAAATGAGGAAATAATCGTGAAAAAAACTACTCCAGTAGGTTTTTTTAATGATAAAGATTAAATATACAGTAACCCAGGCCGAGATCTAGTTTCGAGGCCATGAATTTCTGGGATCAAGTCATCTACAGATTGAAAAAAGTAATTTTTGGAAGCAACCAATAAAACCTTTTTTTGTTGAATCGTCATTTTATTGCTTTTTTGCGGTTTCAAAAACCTCTCAATTTTTTTTTTAGATAAACTATTTTTTCCAAAAATCAGAAAAGATTTTCCTAAGGATGAACTATTTCTGATAAAAAGTCATTGGGTGATAAATAGACGATAATAATAGACGAGAGATTATTTTTTCTCGGAATCGGTTGCTCAGCTTGTTTACGCAAACTTTTTGTCCAAAAACATGCCGGATCTTTGTATTTTTCGCCATATTCTTGGTCGTTTAATGAAGTGTCTGGCCAAGGGATGACGAGAATAGCGAGAGATCTCTGAGGGAAACGTGCCATTTTTAGTTTTTTTTTTCCTCTTCTTATTTTCTCTTTTTCACTCGGTTGGCATGCACTATTTCTAATAGAAAAAAAGTTATCAGGTGATAAATAGAAAATAATAAAAAGTTTTCATTTTTTCTCAGAATTTATTCGTAAATTTGTTTACGCGAGCTCGAAATGCTCAGAATCGGGTTCAGTCAGTTTTTTGAGTTTTTCAGTGTCTTTTTTGTTATTAAACCATGTGATACCTTCAAAACTCATTAAGAACCTGAATACATCAATTTTCCCCTTTTTAGGTAAAGTCAGTCATTGGAAACTTCGAAAATGCATCACTCGGTTCAAGTCCAGTTTTTTTTTTCAAAATGATATTCAATTTTTTTTTTCTTGTACTTTGACCTTAACGGGATTAGAAACGTCATATCCATTCTAATAATTAAAACTCGTTGTAAAATTTTTACGTAAGGGAGTGAAAACTGTGGGCGTGAGAGTTTATGTGGACTTCCAAGGCTTGAAATTGCATTATTAGAGATTGTTTTAATTACAAGTTTTCTCCTGGTGAGTCACAGTTTGTAAACGTTAATATAAATATTCAAAAAGATGAATCTTGACCCCAAAAACGAGTAATTTTTCATTAAAATTCTTGTTTTTTTTTTGTGGAATTTTATTTCAAATTGAGTGAATAATTGAATACACTGGAAACGATCCTTTCTCTGACCTATCTTTGGGAATCACTTGAAAATTGGCCAGAACAATCCTTGATGTACCGAAAGAAGCTCTTGAAAGTCTCAACCTGCGCAACTTCCTATTTTCAGAAAATAAGGACCCTGAGCCCAAAAATAGCTTAATTTAACGGATTTAGAAAGTTTTCTTTGGCTTTGACGGGTTCTTTCTCAAAAATTAATGGTGTGCAGGTTGAGGCTTTCGGGACCTTTTTTGGTTTTTCAAGGAGTATTCTGACCATTTTAGAAAATCCCTATTTAAAGAGTGAAATTACCTTCCTTGCAAGACTTCTAAAGTGATTTTATTCCCTATCTCACAAAATGACTCTTGTTTCCAAGAAATTAATGACTAAACGGTTCTTTGCAGCAAGCCGATGCCAGCGATTCCGCCTGAAGATCCGGCCTCCCTGACTCCGACTCCGACGACGTCATCCATGTCGCCGCCGTCGGTCAAGGCGCCGCCGCCGCCGAAGAAAAAATTCGGACCGGCACTGAATTACGTGGAGTTTGATCGGAAACCGAAGAAAACCATCCCATCGGAAGAGCCTATCGACACCTGCCAGTCCGATTCCTCGTCCATCGAGACCAGAGACGAAGAAATCCTTTCTCCCGAGGTGTGTACTTTGATCTCTGACCTGATCAATTTATTTGAAGCATGGGAAAACTATTCGGTAGAGAAGAGAAGAAGAAAAAAGCTTGTGAAAGTGTAGTTTAATCGAGAATGGTGTTTAAGGGCGCAGGTACTCTCAGATCGCCACGGGACCCATTTTTTTCCAATTTTTTTTTACAGTGTCCATAATAAGTCGAATGATGTCTTGAATAGAAGGCGTATGTATAGGACGCATGCATTATTTTAAGTCATATTAAAGGCGCATGAAAGGAGCCTATTAAAGGCGCATGCACTCTTCCGTAAAGATCCAGGAAAAAAGGACTCTAAATGATTTTTACTGATTTTAATCGATAAAAAATGCCCTCTTCTCTCCGGGATCGTTTTCCACTGCTTCATCTGATTATCGCTCAGTTTATAAGCTTCGAAACTCTTTATAATAGTGCACGTGCCGAATTTTTCATTTCCTTTCTGGGCCTTTCTCTTTTCTCCGCCGCAAATTCTTACTATCGCTTACATTCCCTTTACAGATCAACTTTCGTTTTTTATTTCTAATTCAAGACCTTTTCAGACACTTTTTTTTAAAAATATCAATCAACTAGAAACATTGAAGAAAGTGCGCTCTATTGGAAAGTTCAGTTCAATGGATTGGAAAGTTTCAATGTTTAGTTTACTCGTACTTAGTTCGATAGGAGGAGCGAAGGTCTGAATTAAAAAACGGTTTTTTTTTCAGCTTCGGTAACCGAAAAATATTTAATACCAATGATTTTCTGCATTAATAGCGGCTTATTTCCATGAAATTTTCATCAAAGAAGGTCCCAGAACGGAAGTCGGCACGTGCGAAGACGTCGATTTTGTCCTGAAGCTTAAAAATGAGAAGCGTGTGATCAGTCTTCTAAACTAACCAAAAATAAGCCCGGTTATTTGGCAGTCGATCAAGAGGGAGCTGAGGTTGACCACAAAACGAGAGTTCGAGAATCCGATGTACATGCGCTTGTGCAAGTTCCGAAGCCTCGCCGGCCTTCCCTCGACGTCGACGTCTTCTCCGACGCCCCCACAGGCGGTCGTGAGGCCGACGTCGATGGAGGGGTCGAAGCGGTTAAAGGAGGAAGAAGATGATGATGACGACGCGGCGACGCTCACACCGACGCTGACGCCAAACGGCGCCGGCGACTTGCAAACACCGACGACACCGGTTCAGGCAGCGTCTTGGCCGACCGCCGTCGTCCCATCTGAAGCGGCAGATGACAACGAGGCGGAGACGTCGTCCTTGAATGAAGCTCGGTTGGAGGATGCTGTCAGGTGGGGTCTTTTCTTGTACTTTAAGCTCTCTCTCTCAAATTTCTCTCAGAAAATTTCTTCTTATGAGCAAACTTAGAAATCTGCTATTTTAGTGTACCGCAGTCCTCGCAGCCACCCAGAAATTCTGAACAGGGAAGCGATCCTGGAGGTGCTTTTTCCAAAAAAAAAAAGTTGAAATAGTCCCAAGTTTTCTCCAGTTCCATCACCGTCGGACAGTCCTTCAAGACCTGTTGGAATCGTGACGAAAATGTCGGCTGTGATTCCCACGTCGCCGGCTTCTTCCAGGGAAGGTTCTATCGTCGACAATCCCTACACGCCGAGTCCGAGAAGGTTAGTAATAATAATTGGACCCCCATAGGGGGGCGAGGTCAGAGAACCAAAAAAAAAATAGATTGATTCACTGTGGTTAGAATTTCAGATGATATGATGTTTGAAAAATCTTATTGAGATGTCTAAAAGGACCAGTACATGTTGATCTTTAGGCGCAATGTTACCTTGAGTTCTGCGTCTTTGAATATCTCAGCAAAACTCAAAAATAAAAAAATTGGAGGAGCGACTACTCTTGGATGCCGTCAAAATCGCACGAATACGTGAATGTTGGCTCTTTGGAGGATCCGTTCGACTCCATGTCACTCTCTTCGACGAGGAAAAGCGATTTAATCGTTGAACCTGGTATAGCCTATCCCGCTCCAGCTTGTCACTTTTTCTTCTTCCGAAAAAACCGTACGTCTCTCTGTTTCCTCAGCGGCGACGTCAGAGAAACATGAAAATAGAACGTGAGCTTAAGAGTGTTTCCGAGAGACGAGGAGGGAGCAGAGGTGTCTCATGTCGCTAAAATGGACAGGTCTTGAAGCTAAGTACGCCGGAAAGTCCTATCTACTGTAGTTTTTCAAGAAAAGTGACAAGTTAAAATCCAAATTTCAGAACTTCATCTGGAAAATATAACTTTTTTCAGTTGAAGTCTCAGAAATCCCCTACGACATCCACGGCGAAACATACACTCCGATCAAGAAAACCGGGGGATGCAGCAACGTGACGACATCTTCTCTGCCGGAAACGTCGAGCGACGAAGACGTCGGCGAGGATTCGACGTCTCAAGTCGTCGCCGACGGATCCGCCATCACTTTCTTGGGATTCGTCCTCTTGGGACAGGTCCTTCTTCACTTGGAGACGTATAGAAAAATAATGTCTAAAGTTTGTTCAGATTTTTAATGTCAAGTGCAATGACGTCATTCAAAAACACTCTGTCGATGGCTCGCTGTCTGATTGGTTTATTGCACCATTAGGGGCGGAGCTTGAGCGACGACTTGACATTCAAAATCTGAACAGACTATTTCGATTTAGTGAATGAGTTTTTGAAGAAAAATCAGGCTTTCATCTATGAAAAAATGAAGACATGAATAGAACATTCCCTAGTGAGGTCATTTTTAAATTTTAACATGCAAAAATGGTTTGAAGGAAACTTTTCGCATTTTCATTGAAAATATTGATTATAATAGTTTTTCAGACGCGAAAACGACGTCTGCATGCACGGCTTCGCGACATGAAGCTCAGTTTTCATTCCAATGAGGAGGTAATCTTTCCAAAATTTCTTTTCATCACGATAAAAATTGAAAAAAAACAACTAGGAACCAAGGAAAATACCGAATTTTCAACTTTTGAGAAAACAATTTTTTGAATCTTTTCTTTTGCAGACGACCGACGTGGCGCAAGGGTCCTACGACCTGCGTAACTGCTCCCTGATCCGTCGAGTGGCCACTAAAGAGCCGTCGAGCAAGACGGAGAACGACGCGAGTCCCAGGGCCAAGGAGGACCTCATCGAGGTGCACATGGCCGAGGGCGACAAGAAAGTCGTCACCTTCCGTCCCGTCGATTCCGCCTCCACCTGGCTCATGTTCCTCAGCGAGGTTTCGCTTTTTGATGAGAAAAAAAGTAAAGATTTCCCTTCGGAAGGAGAATTTCCCCTTTTTGATGAGCTCCAGGAAGCTTTTCCAAAGTTTTTTCTAGTTTTGTCAAGAATTTTTTTCAAATCCGTCTGATTTTTTTTAAACAACTTTCGTTACCTCAAAGAAGACCATTTCACGAATATTTAAAAACCTTCATGTAGTTATTTTTCTCGACTAGCTTCATTTGGCCTTTTGGCCCGTATAAGTGGCCACTTGAGTAGTTTCTCAGCCTTTTTTCGTCTACGTAAATGAAGACTGTGACTCCGTAATTCTCTCATGAACTTTTTAGCTAGTTGGAAAATTTTTGTTCAAGTCTTTAAAAGCGCAGAACATCCAACTGATCTATAATTATCCCGAAATTTCTCTTTTTCTTGTTTCTGAAATTTTTCCGTTCACCTGTAGGGAACATTTTCAAAAATACGTTCTGAATCTTAATAAGCTTTCCCTCTTGAAATTTTGAATAAGGGTTTGAAGTTTGGGCTTCAGGCCTGGCTCACACAAGTCCCTCAACTGTATGGATGTCTACGCGATGCGGATCTCAATGTTTTTGGGCATGTCTGGATGCGATTAGGTAAGTCAAAAAACAAAACCAATACATTTGCAATACAAAAAGAAATATTCTAGGAGCTACCAGTCCGTGGGGAAAAGCTTCAGTTGCCCTGGGCGGATTGACGATGAACTACGTGATGACTGAAGATCCGGATCACGTCTTTGAGCTAGACGTTCGGAAGGTTAGCGTTGAAAGAAATTGAAACTATGAAGTTCGAGAATTCTCGAAAGCGAAGAAAACTGACAGAAAGCTTCGAAATCTCATCTTCAAGTAAACGAAATAGAAATCATTTTTGAAAATTTTGAGATTCAGCGAGTAATTCTTCAAAAAAAACGTTGTAAATTTTGAGTTAAGAATTTTTGAATATACTTTTTTTTCAGTTTTCATTTTAAAAAAGCCTGTTGAACAAGATCTCTATAAAAGGCTTGAAAGAAGCCAATAAGGGTTTTCGTGAATTATAAGAAGCAGTTCATGAAAAGATTTTCTAAAATTCTAAATTGTTTTCGGCTTTTTTCTGAACTTTCAATTCCAGGTCCTCGGTCTACGAGAAAAAACGGACAAAATCGATTGGTGTTCCCAGTGTAAGCACAAGAATCAGCAGCGCGGATCTTTCTTGATTTCACTCGATGGATGGTAATTTATAGAAAAATGTTCCTTTTAACAGGAAGAAATGTTCAAAATTTTCCGTAAAGACGCAGAATCTCATGAATTCAATCTCATTAATTAACTGATATTTTTTTGTCTTTTGGCAGTGTCATCAGAAATCCCTCAATTACTTGACATTTCACCTCTCATTTCATTAATTTAATAGAAAAAAATTAATGTTTTTCCAGCTCCCTGTACATTGAGTGCAAGGACGGAGGAACAACGACGGCTTGGTACGAAGAGCTCAACGAGGTCTTGAGCCGACCTCCGACTAGCCTCGAAACGTGCCGTTTGAACTCGGACAACGTCCCTTGGGTAAGGCGCTTCGTGCTGGAGAGTCTGAAAAAAAAAACGAAAAGAAATGAATTTCCAACTGTAATAGAGAAAATGTCATCTTTTTGGTTCGTTTGTCCGGGAAAACTTTATATAACAGCTTTTTTCATTTTTTCGAAGATTTTCTGAGTTTTTGGGCTTTTTTAGAGTTAGAGATGATTTGCACGAAAACTTTGATAGCTTGAATGAATTTACGAATGAAAATACCTTATTTAGTAAGCGTTTATGGCTTCTTGATGTGTTTAGAAAGCTGAGGAATCAAAATAACTTGCGCCAAAAAATGAATACTTCAAATTGACCGAGGCCTTGGAGAAGTTCGAACTTTGGAAAATAGTACAAGTTTTTCATTTTTTTTTTTTCAAGTTCCAAGAATTTTCTGTTCTTCATTTCGGAAAATTTAGATAATCGATCGCTGTATCCGGTACATCGAAGCGTTTGGCCTGAACGTTGAGGGGGTTTATCGGAGGAGCGCCGTGAAATCCTTGGTCACGGATACTTTGAGACGGTTCAGAGAAGGTTTCATCATATTCTATAAATCTATGAAACGAAAAAAGAGCTTCAGACCAAGTCGGCAGCGTGATTTGCGGCAATAACCAAGAGGATATGGCGATCGTGGCGGCCGACTGCCTCCGCCAGTTCTTCCGCAGCTTCGACCAGCCATTCTTCCCCGTTCCTCTCCAATCTGAACTTCTTAATTGTGGTTTTTCTTTCCAATTATCACATGCAGAATCATTCTTAGAAATTTAGCTTCAATGGAATACGAAAAGACGAAAATCGAGCAAATCAGCAATTTGCTCCGTTCCGAACTCTCCACCGTCCATTATCAAACGTTGAGAAGGCTGGTCAGCCACATGCGAGTCGTCATTGATCATTCTGAGAAGACCAGGGCCAATCCTCAGGTTTTTTCGACGGTTAGTTGTCATTTTTTATTTATTCAGACAAAAAATTAAGCGCGCAGTTTTACCTAAAAACGTTAAAGATTAGGGCATTCGACGCGATCTCGTCATTATTTCATAGAGGCTTTCAAAAACGGCAAAAAATGGTCTCAAAACGAAGCCCGCGGACCTATAAAATGTTGAAAAACGAACACAATCGAAAAAATATGCAAAAAGAGAAAAATATAAAACAGTAGTTGAATTTTGCGTTTTGTCCGCAATGATTTGTGTATGCAGACGCCTGCGCAGTTACCGTAAACCCCCAAAAATTTTTCTTTTTCTGAAATTTCGGTTTTTTTTTCTTATTTTCACGGTGTGAAAAGGCGTTGAAAATTTGATATGCTTAATCTTTTTTTTCCTTAACCATGTAGTTATGAATTGATTTAATTTTTCAGGTTTTTGGTCCATCTCTGTTTATGGTGGACAAAGGCGAAGACTGTTGGGGGAATCTTGGAAGTGAGCGACAGTTTGTCCAGAACCTTATCGAGAATTTCGACGAGATTTTCCAGGTTGCTTTTATCCAAAAATCTTTGTTTCTATTGTTGAAAGTTGTTTTTTCAGACGACCACTCGAGAAGAGTTGAGTCGAGAACTCGTGAAAGAAGCCGAAAAAAAAGTTCAATTCGATGGAACTCCCAATGTGGTGAACTTTGAGTTTGAAATGATTTCTGACTAATTTTCTTCGCTCAGGTTCGCGCAGGCAGTGTCTTGGTTCCCATTCACATGTGGGAGAAGGAAAATCTTCCTTTTAATGCAAAATCTGCCTTGGCAGTTGAAGAAGTGACTTTTAATGTTTCGAAACAGTTTTGAATTTAATTTTGAAGGTTTGTCGCGAAGCCGTGGCTCGTCGTGGTTTCGATGCGCCGCCTGACGGAAAATTTGCACTTTTTGAGGTACAGTAATTTCGGCGCGAGACGGGAACCTTTTAACAGAACGGAATAAATAACATTTTTTTGTGCACTTTCTGGGAAAATTTTTAGTGGCCACTACAGGGTTTTGACGTTTTAGTGGCCACTATAGTAGTAAAATTAGTGGCCACTTGAGGGGTTGAAAGTTAGTGGCCACTATAGAAGTCTAAGTGCTGCTACTAGACCACAAAAAATTTTAGTTTAGGGGTCAATGGATCAACATAAGTATAGTCTGTTCAGAGTTTGAATGTCAACCAGCTAACTCCGCCCCTGCTGAGACGGTACCGTTTCGCGTCGATGTTTCATCGCGCGGGACTAATTTTGATCTTTTTCGATCTAAAAGATAGAAAAAGAGGTCAAAAAGGCAGCCTTATTAAAGGGCCATTGGCATATGTAGATAAAACATTGACGCGAAAAATATTGTAGCCTTGGGGGTGGAGTTAGCTGCTTGACATTCAAAATCTGAACAGACTATAGTCCAATCTGTTTGTTTTGAAATTATCAGAGTTATTGGAAGGAATACTGGATGATAAACTATAACTCAAAACAAAATTCGAAAAAGTTTCAAAAATTTCCAGGTGATCTGCAACGGCGCTCTGCAGCGAAGGATGCCCTTAAGTGAGAAACTGTCGGTTGTCGTTTTGAAGAGGTGGATCGACTGGAAATGCACCGACGGATTCTTGTTGTTCAATCATGATACGAATCCGTTCAGTGCCGAAGACGCGGTTGGTTTATGAATCAGTTTGAAAAAAGTTCAGATGTTGTTGAATTTGCGATATTTCTGAACAAAAGTTGATTTTTTCGAAATAGTTTATGATTTTTTTCTTTTTTTTCCATAATTTTACATCCTTTAGCTGTTTTCGAACAGATTTTCCAAAAAAATTTTTTTTTCTTTTTTCTCGCTTTTTTATGTTTGTCAAGTTATTCTGAATTAAGCTGAATACCTGTTTGCATTGAAAAAAATCAAAAAAATTATATATATTTTTGCTCACTTTCAGTTAAAAGCTTGTCGTTAGAAAAACAGAATCAGAAAGTCGAATGCACAAAAATTTTTTTGCCGTTTTCATTGAATCTTTCAATTTTTTTATGTTTTTTTCTTCATTTTCGTATTAGTTTTTCAGGCTTTTCTGCTCTAGAAACTAGTTTTAAAAAAATTCAGATTCATTTTTTTAAAACTTTTTTTCCGTTTCAAGGCACATTAATTAATTAATTTGGGGAGGTTGATTATTTCTGCTAATCTCGAAAAAAGCTTTGTGAATTCTTAAAAATTCAGTAGTTTTTAGCGATCCTTCACGGGAAAAGTCAAAGTCGCGGAGCCCGGGTCGAAGACTTTCAAATCTTATGAGTGGAAACTTGAAGGCGGGGCAAAGGTTGACCATTTTTTTAAAAATCGAAACACTCTTCAGTGCATTTTTTCAGATCTCGGCCTATCGAAATGAGAAAATGTGCCTTGTTTGGGATGTTGAGAACGTCGTGTGGTACGTTGGGGCCGAGACTTCGCGAAAGGTAAATTAGAAGAAAAACGTTTTTGGCTTCAATCTCCGAAGTTTCATCAACTAATTAATAAGTTCATTGATTTCAATGGAAACATGACAAAATATTTTAGAAGTTGAAATACCACAAAAATTGAAATAAAAGTTTTTAACTACCCATTTTCCTTGTATTGTTGGTTTTTCTAAAGAGATGTTTTCAGTGGCAACTTTAGTGTCCACTTCTAGTAGCCTTCGAGAAACCTCTCAAGTGGCCACTAGAGTTTCTCCCAGTACACGTTTGTCTGGAAAAATAATATTTGTGACATTTCCAGGCGCCGAACCAATTCAACGCGACAATGGTGGAGACTTCTCGACAGGACCTCTCAAAGTCCAAACTTCCCGGCTACTGTCTCTCCTTCAAACTCGAAAGGGACCGAAAACTGTGGCTGAACGCCTTGGAACAAGCCTACGACACCGCCAATCCCGCCCCTTTGGTTCATATTTGATCTTTTTCTAAAATTTCGTGTAACTCCTTTTCAGCTTCAAATAACCTATCATTAACCTATGTATTTAGTCGATTAATAATTATAGAACTAGATTTTTTTCATTTTATTTAAACCTTCCCTTAATACGGTTTCCCCGCAACCTTTTCTCTTTCAGTTTTAATAAAATTCCAGCTCATTTTGATTCCCTTCTTTAATAATTGTGCCTTCGGGTATTGATATATTCTTCTGACATTTATTTGACTCATTTCCCTCTCTGCCGCATTTGTATCAAGCTTTCTTGTGAACTAACTCAGGGCGAAAAACTTTGTTGCGTCCTTCTTCTACTTTGTAAATGCATAATCGGTGAAATGATGCTCAACTGAATTTATTATTGTATATAAATATTTTCCAATTTTCATTATGAGCTAGCTGTCGTCGTGGGATCTTGAAGAAGGCTACATTTACCAGAATTATTCAGCTCTTTTTGAGATAAAAACAAGGAAATTCCAATCTTCCAAAGGATTAGCAGGTATATAAATGAGAAAGATCTCCTTTTTAGACGATTCTGTTTAAAAAAGGGTTTTCGTTTTCTGAAATTTTCAGATGAAGCTTAACCGGTTAGATACCTACATCATTAGAAAGCTGATAGAGAGACAAATCGATTGATGTAATCAGATAAGCTGTAGCTGCTCTGAAAGCGGAGATACAAGCCTTCAAACATTTCTTAAAAATTAAATTTGCGCGTGAGATAAAACGCCTTGACTGAGGCTGCGCGTCCGGTCAAGTGTTGGTCTGAGGCCCGGATCGGTGTGGTTTCCTCGCGAAAAAGGAAAAGGGTCAAAAAAAAGTTTGAGATTTTCAACATTTTTCTAGTTTAATCGATAGAGCAGCTTTCATATAGTACTGTTATCATATCAGTTTTGAAGAAAAAGCTCAAAAGTTGGGTCAAAAAGAAGTCGGAAAAAACCGCGATTTTCAGGCTTTCAAGCTTCATAACTCCGTGCTTTTCGAAGTCACAGAGAAACTGATTATATCAATCGATTCGTCTTATTATCAGCTCTCGAATCATATAAGACTTAAATATTTTAATTCAACCTGGATAACGTAATTCAATTTTCCAGCTTACATCTCAGCTTTTCCTTCAAACTAGTTGAACTGATAATCAATCGATAAAGCGTCCGAAGATAAAATAATTTGTGTAACTCAATTTCTGATATCTTATCAGAAGCTTTAGTTATAATCTCAGGAAAGTCCGAATCGTCTAGATGAAGCTTGATCTAGTCGAAACGTGTACTATTCGAAAGCTGAAGATGAGACGAATCTATTGATATAATCATATCAGTTTTGAAGAAAAAGCTCAAAAGTTGGGTCAAAAAGAAGTCGGAAAAAACCGCGACTTTCAGGCTTTCAAGCTTCACAACTTCGTTCATTCTTAAGTTACAGATCAATTGATTACATCGATCGATTCGTCTGATTATCAGCTTTCTAGTGATATAGATGATCAACATATTGAGCTTCATCCAAAAGCTTCAGACTTACTTCAGCTTATACATTTACGCTTTGATAAGAAATCAGCAAATCAATTACACAGGTTTGTCCGTCTTTGAATGCTCTATCGATTGATTGTGGAATCATCCGGTTTGAGGGAGAAGCTGAGTTGTAAGCTGGAAAAATTAGTGACGTCCCCCCTCTTAATGGAAACTTTTGAAGCCGTATATCATTAAAAAGCTGATAATGAGACGAATCGAATGATATAATCAGCTTTGCTGTTACTTCAAAACGAAAGAAGTTAGGAAGCTTGAAAGCCTGAAAGTCGCGGTTCTTTCCGACTTCTTTTTGACCCAACTTTTGAGCTTTTTCTTCAAAACTGATATGATAACAGTACTATATGAAAGCTGCTCTATCGATTAAGCTAGAAAAATGTTGAAAATCTCAAACTTTTTTTTGAGCTTTTCCTTTTTCGCGAGGAAATCACACCGATCCGGGCCTCAGACAAACACTTGACCCGACGCGTCACTTCAACCAACATATTCGATCTGACGCGCAATTTTATTTTTTAAGACGATCTTTGAGGGCTTGTATCTCGGCTCTCAGAGCAGCTACAGCTAATCTGATTATATCAATAGATTCGTCTCATCTTCAGCTTTCGAATAGTACACGTTTCGACTAGATCAAGCTTCATCTAGACGATTCGGACTTTCCTGAGATTATAACTAAAAGCTTCTGATAAGATATCAGAAATTGAGTTACACAAATTATTTTATCTTTCGGACGCTTTATCGATTGATTATCAGTTCAACTAGTTTGAAGGAAAAAGCTGAGATGTAAGCTGGAAAAATTGAATTACGTTATCCAGGTTGAATTAAAAATATTTAAGTCTTATATGATTCGAGAGCTGATAATAAGACGAATCGATTGATATAATCAGTTTCTCTGTGACTTCGAAAAAGCACGGAGTTATGAAGCTTGAAAAGCCTGAAAATCGCGGTTTTTTTCCGACTTCTTTTTGACCCAACTTTTTGAGCTTTTTTTCTTCAAAAACTGATATGATAACAGTACTATATGAAAGCTGCTCTATCGATTAAACTAGAAAAATGTTGAAAATCTCAAACTTTTTTTGACCCTTTTCCTTTTTCGCGAGGAAACCACACCGATCCGGGCCTCAGACCAACACTTGACCGGACGCGCAGCCTCAGTCAAGGCGTTTTATCTCACGCGCAAATTTAATTTTTAAGAAATGTTTGAAGCTACCGTTTATCTGATTATATCAAATCATTCATCCCGACGCCAGCTTTCTGAAAAACCAGGTTATCACTTTTTTAATCATCAAACAGAAGTTGTAAACTTTTACAGCTTATATCTTCACTTTTTGAAATTGCACGCGAGCAACATAAAGTGAATAGATAATTTTATCGTCATGAACTCGAAAGAAAATTGAAAAGAAAACCACGAATGATTATCAAATAATCTTGGTACAGCGGCTTGAGCCAAAGTGCAAAAAAAGAAAACGTCGGGTGTTCGTATTTTAGAAATATATATGATAAAAACCCGCAAGTTGAACGTGTTACAAAGGTTTTTCTGCAGAGAATAAATGCGATTTTGAGCATTGAGAAAAGAAAAAAATTTCAAAAATTAATAGTCATGAGCGTCTGATGTGAGCTGAAAGAGACATTGTAAGCTTAAAGTCTTGAATATTAATCTAGGAATAAATTGCACCATTCAACAAGTGTTCGTCATAGAAAAAAAGAGAAACAATGAGAAAAGGCACGTTTGAAAAATATAGCAAATTTTTCATTTGAAGCGAAGTTTTTGGGTTTGCGGAGCAAATCATCAGTTAGGAGCACTTAGTGGGACCGGTTACAGAGAAATTGAAGGGAAACGAATGAGAAAAAGGTCCAAAAAAAGACAAAATATACAAAAATCAATGATTTTCTTTGTACTATTCTGGCGTGGGTTTAGTAAAGTTGAAGGATGAAAGAAATGAAAAAATAATGAGAAGAAAATGACAACTTTCTGCGTGAAGCGGAAATACTATTTTGAAGAGACACCAGAGAAAAATAGTGGTAACTTGTCTGGGGTCTCTTCGGGTCGCTGTTGATCTCTCATATTTGGGTAAGGTTATAAGATTACATTCGGAATGAGAGACAGCTGCAGCTTGAAGAGACGTCAGAGAGCGAGGGTGATCGTGCTTCTCTGGGGTCTCTTCCAGCCCCTTTGATCTCTTCCAGACCTAATTCTTCTTCTTCAAAAACCAGCTATTTTCTTCACATTTTCACAAACAAAAAAAAAAAACTAGAAATGGCTAGAAAGGGGTACAATCAAAGACTACGAAAAATGTGAATTTATGGACGATGACGTCATCAGCATTCGATGTCCGCCGCGGCGGGTTCGACGGACGTCTTCTGCTGTTGTTTCCCGCGAGCCCTCATCTCGGCCATCGCCTTGGCTCGGCGTTCGTTCGCGAGAGCTCTCTGAAGATATAAAGATGAAGAGATTGATGGTAGCGTCGTAGTCTAGTCGGTTGTATCCTTGGCTATGAGTCCAAAGGTCACAAGTTCGGACCCCCGCATAAATTCAAATGAATTTGCTCTTTTTAAAATTCCACATGGAGCTTATTTTGGTTCCACGATCATAATTACTAGCTCATTTCTACGATTCGCTAATTTTTGAACAAATTGAGTTAGAAAAAAACTGATAAAATAATTTTTATCCTACAAATTGAAAACTGGAACTTTTCATTTGATTTTTGTTATAAGCCTCAAATTTTTTCATGTACTCGAAAAAAAAAATTAAAATTCTTATCCAGACATTCAGAGGCGAAACCTGTAGTGAACCTCTAACATTCAAAAAAAAAAATATTCCCCAGTAGGAACCTTTCTAATCAAAAATAACCCTTGAAAATATAAAACCCCTCAAGTACCTGCTTGTCGAGCTTCTCCTGGGCTTCGGCGGACAGAGCCGGGGACTTTTTCGTCGGAAGTCGGGACTTTTTCGGGACTGGCGGCGCCGCCGTCGAAGCCTTCGGCGTAGTCTCGGTCGACGTCGTCTCCTCGACAGCCTCCATGTTCCATCCAGCTTTTCGATATTGTTCGATCTGAAATCTCCATCATAAGCCACCTTGTAGAAGATGCATAGATCATCAAAGTTGTCAATTAAAGTCTGTTTTTTTTTCAGGACCTTCTCGAACTGCTTGTTGATGCCGGTCAACTCCATGTCGATTGTGACCCAGAAGGCTTCGAGATCAGCCAGCAAGACGGGCATCGGATCTCCCACAACAGGGTGCTGAAAAATAAAAACGTATTCCTGATTAATTTTATCTCAAAAGTAAAAAATCGGCTTTTTTTCAAGATCCAAAAAATCTCAAAAGCTGTAAGTACGTGACAAGGAAACCATACGAAAGTTTTTAAAACTGGCTCAATTTTGCCCTTTTTTGACTTTAAACAAATATAAGTGAAATTTTACATGTTTCACTATAACTTTCTTGGTTCTCAACATTTTTCCAAGATTCAAAAAGATTTTAGAAGCTCAAGACAAACCAGATGCTTCTGGACAAGGCCATTGAAGGTGGAAATCTTCTTCCGGACAAGCAAATGACCGTTTCCAGCAGCGGTTCTGACGAGGTCGGCGCACGCTTCCGGCATGTCCTGGAATGTTGAAAATTTGAAAAAAACCAAAATATAAGTTTTAGCGATTTGAAAAATGCCATATTCCTAATTTAAGCCGTGTCTTTTTCAGGAATACGTTTGGAAAATTAATTTACAATACCGATAGTCAAAACTCTGAACTTCATTACCATTCTCTGAAACAGTGACTTCATATAGATCTACGAAAAAAAATTTTTGAGCAATTTTCATCAGTAGTGAATCATTCCAACAGCCCAAATATATTATAAAAGTACCCTTAAAAAAATTGAATATTATGAAAAACTTCACATTTCTATCGAAAATGACAAATTCTAGTAACCAGAAACCAATCAAAATCCTTCCAAATCGATTCGAAACGGAGGATTAACGAGTAATAACCGTTCAAAACCAGTCATTCCTCTCTTCTCTTCGGGAAATCTTTTCAAAAAAATATTTCAAAATGTATCTAAACTTCAAGAATTTTATTCTAGTGCTATCACTGATAATCAGCGTCTCATCAGTTTGTGACAATTACTTCACACATTCGAGCGCCGTTTGCACGTTTCTCAATGAGCCACAGCCTTGTCTAACGGATGACGGTTAGATTTTTTTGGTTGAAATTTCGGGGTAGAGGTTTTTTTGAAACGTTTTTTTGTAATAGATTAATTGAATAATTGATTGAAAAAAAGAAAAAAATAACTCACTTATTCGATTCAAAGTCACATTTCTGATAACCTACAGTTAATCAAAAAAAAAATCCTTTTTTTTTCAAGTTTAGATTCAAAAGTATATAATAAGATCTTTCAGAGAAAAAAAAAATCTCAAAACCATTATAATTTTAATTCACAGAGCTAAAATTTCGCTTTGAATTTTTTCCCACTGTAAGACCAACTTAGGAGAAATATTCAAGACTTTCCCAAATTTGAATCTCGATAATTGTTGCTTTTTCAGCCCAATCCAAAGCGGACCATTGCTGTGAACAACCAGAAAAATGCTCCTTCAAGGAAGCTCTCCAGGAGAAGGTTCTTTCATACTTTCTTTATAAAAATCGTGCTAAATATTATGAATTTTCAGCCGTGTTGCTACACACAAGAGTGCCTCGACCGCTGTTATCCAGGCAAAAATTACCAAGCCGAGAAGACCCGGAAACGTTAAAGTCATCGACATGCTCTGATTTCTAATACGCCAATAAATGTTTTGCTAAATGAGGTGTTTGTTTAACATTGTTTGTAAAAAATATTGCACATCTCATGTATAACCTTTCCAATAAGAATGATTATCTGGGAAAATTTTTAGCGGCCACTATAGAGGCTCGCCAAGGGCTACATGAAAAGAAAACTAAAGTGGCCACTAAACCCATCTCTATAGTGGCCACTATTTTCCGTTTTAATTTTAAAACAAACTGATTAGACCAGTTATGTGGATCCATTGACCGCCTAAAGTGGCCACTAAAACTTTCAGTGCTCTTGTAGTAGCACTTAGACTTCTACAGTGTCCCCTAACTTTCAACCCCTTGAGTGGCCCCTAATTTGACTACTAAAGTAGCCACTAAAACGTCAAAACCCTATAGTGGCCACTAAAACGTCAAAAGCCTATAGTGACCACTTAAAATTGTCCCCAAAAACACGAAAGACAAATATTGAAAATCTCATCTCAGTCTATAATGTTTTGTTCTCGGCTTGAAACGACAGAGTGTGCGATGCATTTTTGGCGCCAATTCGAAAAACATTACAACTTTAAAATTCTTTTTCAGAAATTATCTCATTTCATTCAGAAAAAAGCAATTTTTTTTAAATATTCAAATCAAATCAAATCATTTATTTTGTTGTTTTAGTCTGATGTAATCGACTAGGCGGTGAACAAGAACTTCAAAGCTATAACGAACAACCGCCTTTGGCGAACTAGAAGTCCAAACGTGTAGTCGAAAGAGTTGAAAGCATGGTCTTACGGTCCTTCGTCTTGTCCTTCTGCGCGTAGTCCATCCAGTTGCGCCTTGACGAGCTCAGAATGTAAGGGATGTTGAGCTGGAGCCCGGAGACCGTGCTCTAGGTGGAAGCCTCAGAATGAGAGCGACCACTTCGAGTGAAGATTTTACACGAAATGACCAAATTGGGAAATACCAATTGTCAGCTGCGAGGTGCTGAGAAGCAACCGGACAAGGCCACCAGCCAGGTATTCAAGGTAAAATATTCATTTTCCAGTAGCGAAGCCCGATAATAAAGTGAATTTCTGAATTTGCGCCAATACGCGTCGCGACCCCTGCGCACACAATTTGTAAGGCCGCCTTTCATTTTCAAATATAAATTATCAAAAAAGTCATGCTTGACAGATTCTGAACAGCTTTGAGAGCCCAATTTGATACCTTGACATTCTCCAAGTCCTCCTTGGCCGCTTCGATCTTGGCGCTGAGGTCGTCGCGAACGAAATCGTGAAGTTTGGCGAATCCTTCTCCGTCGTGAGGGTTCAAGTCGATGCTTTTCGGTGACTGTGCCACTGGAAACAGTTATTTTTGAGATTATTCTGTGAAAAGTGCGGAAAATGAAAATTTTTTGAACGAATATGGTCCTCCATAATTGTGATTAAAACTTTTTGAAACGTTAAAATGTGTTTGAAATAAAGTTTCATGAGTTTCTCTGGCACAAAAACATGAATTTAGAAAAATCTGAAGGGGGTCCTATAGGGAGAAAAAAAAGCGAGATAAGGACCCTTTTTACGCCTTCTATAGGACCTAAAAATATACCGCGCTTTTTCTCCGTATATAAATTTTCCCAATGGCTATTCAAGGGGTTTAGGTGATTTTTTTGATATAATTTAAATGAAAAAAAGTAGCTTTCGAGGGCCCCCTATAGGGTTCGTTCGAATTTTTTTTTTCTTTTAAGAGGCCCTAACACATTACCAATACGCTAAATCTCATATAATTCAAATGACAAGTGGGTTTTTAAGGCCCTTTATAGTGGATCCTTCAAATTCTTCCCTTTGAGAGGTCCTAACAAACTTCCTAAAGAACAAAGTGAACCTCTTTCTTCAATTTGATCAACTTCGACAAAAAAAATCTCTCGAAACTCCAAAAATGTGAACGAGAAGGGTGATGCGCCTGCAAGTACTGAGACTCGACCAGACGCGACCTTTGTTTCTCGGCATTTCCATTTCGGCGGGGATGTCGGCCCACACTGCGCAGTGACGCCGCATGGTTCCTTTCCGCCCAAACTATCGAGGAGGGGAGCCGAACCCGCGACGGTTCGCGCGTCCGCCTCCTCGCTTAGCCACTCGGCCAAACAGTTGTCGACCGCTCTTACTCACCCTGGCCGCTAATGTTCTGCAGGGTCGCGTTGATGTTGGCCGCCGTCGCCGGTTCTCCGTCCCGTTTCGTCGATTCTGGAGAATAGTTTCCGGATCCGGAGATTCCACTGTCGCTCTGAAAAATTAATCGGTTGGAAAGGGAAACATTTAGCGATTTGAAAATGCGAAAAAGTCTAAAGAAAAAATAATATTTATTTTTCGAAAATTATGAAAAAATTCTTTTATATGTGTGAAATGGAGAAGAAAGGGACAGAAATTCCCAGCAAAAAAATAAATTTTCGAAAAAAATATGGCGTTTTTTTAAAGTTATCAAAGTCTCAATGATTTAAATATCCCATTTTTTTACTTGAACAAGAGCAAGTAGAACACATTTATATATTTCAATTACTAAATTATCTTGTTTTCCGAGAGAAAAAAATTATCCTTTTTATGATGGTTATGAAGATCAAGAAGCCCTTAAAAACTATTAATTTTTACTTGTATACTTCTTTTTGAAACAGAGAAATAATTTGAGAAAAAAAGAATTTCAAATTTCAATCCCAACTCATTCGAATCAAGTCTTCCAAATCTATATAGACACAGCAATAAGGTTATTTTTACCTAATTTTAAAACTGTATGAGAAAACAGTGAAAGGATCTTTTTGACCTTTTCCAACTTACTAATCAAAAAAATTTGAAAAAAATCTGAAATTTATCCGGCAAAAATGGTGAAAAATCGAAGCCATTAGCTTTTTAAATTTCGGATTTACAGTTCTAAAAATTGTAAAGAAAAAGATCACTTTACAGCTTCTCATACGTAGTTTCAACTGCCAAATGTTCCATTTACACTTTCTTTAGCTCAATGCAAGGTCAAAAAACATTCATTTTGAGAAAAAAACGGTCATTTCTACACCTATAAATCACACTTTTCTTTAAATATACTCTTTTGAAACGGGAAAAAGGGATATTCACCTCGACATCGATGGAAATCCTCGACGGTGGCGGATTGTCCGTTTCGTGTGGATTTTCCGAATTCGTATCGGTTGTGTCGTCGATTTCCACTGGTTTTTTGCAAGCTTCCTCTTCAAAGTCCTGAAAAATCATAATAATTTCGGAGGAATTCGAAAATGCGACGAACAGGCTGCTGATTTATGACGATCGAGTGGGGCGGGATATTTTCCGTGTCCTTCTCATCTTCTTTCGATTTTTCGAAATTGCACAGGTCGAGCTTGTCGAATCGGCTGATCAGATCCTGGAAAAAGGTAAAATAATTGATGGAATTCAGGAAAGAACTGAGAAAAGCCAATTTCTTTCAAAACGTCTCCAGATAATTTTATAGCGCATTCATTTCACAGGAAAACTTTCTGGGTGAAAATAAGTGAATATGTTTAAAAAGACCTTATAGAATGGAAAATTAGTGAAGAAAAGCGCCCAAAAACTTGTTAAACATCCCTGAGCCCAAAAAATGTATTAAAACAGAAAAAAAAAAATTGAAAAAAAGTAGTTTACATGACCTTTTTTCAACTAGAAAGTTAATAAAAAAACTAAAATATTGCCAAAAAGAAGTTATTTTGATAGTTCTTGAAACTTTTATGGGAAAAAACATTGAAAGAAACCTTTTCAAACATTTTTTTGTGAACTTTTGGCCAAACTCGTTGAAATTTACTGCATTTTTTTGGTGCCCTATTTCTCATTTTTTTCAAAATATTTCATATTTTCCAAGAAACGATTTTTTTGATTCATTTTTATTTCATTTTTTTCTATCACAAAAATAGTATATTCCAGTAATTTTTCTTCACAAAATATGCTATTACTTCAAAAAGTTTAAATCTCTCTTTAATTTCGAACAAAAAAACTAGAAAGAATTCTTACCTAGGACAAAAATCCAGGCTGAAAAAAAGCAAGTTTATAAAAAAATGTTAAACTGTTGAATTGTCCTTTTAAGTTGGTAAAACATTTTATATCGTTACTTGAAACAGGGATTAATATTTTGTATAACTTTTTCACAAATTGAAGTGGAAGAAAAATTGACAATTTTTGTAATAATCCAGGTTAAAAACTGAATAATAGAACATTCAAGCTTTCAGCCTATTTAGGCACATTTGAACATCAAAAACCTATACTTCCAGTTTTTTCGACTTTTTTTAATTTTAAGGTACATGATTAGGACTAAAAAGATACCCGAATAGGGCCGGGCGTCGAGAAATTGTTGCCCATATGGGAGGGCTGAAGACGCGACGAAATCGGCGTCTGCGGCTGGATCGGCGAGCGGCTGAAAAAAATTGTTCGATGAATAAAAAAATTTCTTTGAAAAACTATCACAGACTATAAAGTTCAAAAAGCTTGAAAAATCAGCAAGAAATCATCGGAAAAAAGCGACAAACTCAAGAAAAAGGGACAAAACTTTAAAAATGAGCCTTTTTTTGAAGTCAATCAGCTTTCAACTTTTCATAACTACACATTTTTTTTCGACATAATTTCAAACTGAAATCAAAAGTGATAGAATCTTCTATTTGAAAAGTTTCTGAAACTGCAAAGTTGTGAAAATTTACAAGAAAATAACATTTTTTTTTTCTTTATTTCTGTCAAAAAGTGAAGGGTAATACAAAAAAATTGCTGATTTCTCGATTATTTCTCTCCAAGAATTTGGTATAAAATTCAATTTTCTCTTCAAAATTCCTACTCATCTCACGATCGAAAAGATATATCCTTAAACTTCAAAAAGAACAGGAAAATACCGAATTTCTGTCTGTTTGAGCAATCGTAATGGTCATTCACAATAATTGTCCATTTGTGGACACAAGTCGGCATTTTCCTTTTGATTCCAATTGCGTATTCAGAACGTTATCAAGGGCTCAGGAACCATTGGATTGAGGAAAATTTTGGAAACTTGAAAAAAAGTTCGGGAATAAACCAAAAATACTGGTGAAAAAGCGATTTCAGTGAGAATTTTTGAAGAAAAACTGCGAAATTTGAAAAAAATGGGCCTTAAAGGAAAATTCTCAAAAATCTAGTAGGAAAAATGGAACCTGAGACCCTAAAAAACTTGAAAATCGGTATTTCTTAAAGAAAGTTCCAAAAAAAAACCTAAGCTTCAATTTTGAAAAGCCTTTGTTATTTTGAACCAAGAATTTGCATTCAAGTTAAAAATATAATTTTTTTGTCAACCAAAAAAATCATAAAAATTATGAAATAAACGCTTGAAACCTTCAAAAAAATTACATAGAGAAAAAAATTATTTCCAACCATACCTACAGAAAAAAATGATGAGATAGTTCAAAACCAACAAAACCATCTTTAAAAAATAAATAATTCCAGCTAAAATTAGGCTCAAAACAGCGAGAAATGGTTGGAAAAGGCGTCAAAACGAACAAGAAAACGAGTTTCCTCAGTGCGAAAAGGCAGCTTTCTTCTAGTCAGTCAAGCACAAAAGAGCACAAACATTGGGTGAAAGGCCAAGGTGCATAAAACCTGAGAACCTGGGGGTTAAGATTCGAAAAAGTGTGAGAAGAGAACAACTTAATGGATGACTTGGGTATGGAGAAAGAGAGGTTCAATTTAAAAAAAAAATGTAGATTTGAAGCCTCCAAAGTCATTTTTGTGTACAAAGTTTGAACAGAAAACTTTCTGAAACGGCAAAATTTTAAAACTTGAAAATTTTTAGCGTCAGAGCCCCTAAAAAAATTTCTTAAAATGAACTTTTTTTGTTTGAGGATCGAAACCTTATATGAATGACTTGACAAGAAAAAAAGAAAAAAACAGTTGAATACTAAAAAAATTTTTGAACTTTCAAAGCTATAATCTTCAAGATTGGTATAAAAAAATCATTTTAAGGCAAAAAGTTTTGAAACTGAAAACAATAAACGAATTTCTTAAATCTTCCAAGCCCCCTCGAACTCGAAAAAAAGGGATATTTCCTCTCAAAAACCAACATAAATTAAAAATAAATTAGGATCAGAAAATTTTGAATCAAGGTCTCCAGAAACCTCAAGAATTCAGAAAAAGACTGAAAATCTCGCAAAAATGGAATTTCGGAGTAAAAATTCCGTCAAAATGCTTTAAAAAGCATCATAGAAAACTTTTGAAAATCAAAAAAAGGCATAAAAGATGATCAAGAGCCCAGAAATATCATCTCTCACGATCTTTCAAGTGGCCTCCGTTTCACGCGTTTTTGTGCCTATGAGCTGGACCATCTCCCTGTCTATACAAATAAAGATCTCATTGACCTGTTGGTCCTGATCAGAGGTCAATTAGCCTCATAGTTATGAAGAAAAATATTGAGAAAGGAGTGAAAAAACCGTTGAAGATGAAGGAAAGTTCGTCAAAAACTGTGTTGAATCCCCAGACGTTTAGAAAACATTGCAAAAACTTCAGAAATTCGAAAATCAGGTTCAAAATTTGATAGAAAAATACTTGAACACTCAAGATAAAACTAAACTGGTCCCTTTTATGCAAGGGATCACTAAAGAGACATCAAAGCCGCTTAAGCGACCACTCAACCGCTAATTTCTTTTTCATGTTGTTTTTTGTCGAAATCTGCCGTAATTTACTAATTTTTTGAACATAAAAAAAAAATGCAGAAACCTCAGATAGGAAAATTGAACAGAAAAAAGACCTGTAGCTTCAAAAACGTACTCACAAAAACTATAAAAACCGTCCGGAAACCTACAATTACAGATCTAACCTTCGCAACAGTCCTCCTATACAAAGATAACCATCGATAATCGCCAAAAAGTTGGTCGGAACCCAAAAAACCGCAAAAAGGTTGGTTCAAGGCCAAAGACGGGCGTGGAGGATCATCCAAGCATGGATGAGTGCGCCACTTGAAACCAAAAAAAAAGGAATAGATAAAAGAAGAGCCGCCAAGACTTTCGCTTTGAGTAGAAATGGGAGAAAAAAGCAGTGAAATGGGCAAAAAAATGGAGCCATCTGGAAAAAATGACCTTTTCACCCGTCAAACGCGTCTCCGATCTCTTGGCTCTCGATCAAAAAAAAAAAATTGAAAGAGCACACAAAAAGTAGAGCCAAGCAGAGATACACAGAGAAAATTATAAATGTCCAGGTGTCTCTTATTTTCCCATAGTCTCTATTTTCAGCGATTTTGAGGCATTCTTCAATTGCTCATGAATCATTATACTGTGAATTTTCGGAATGAAAAAGAAATATAAAAAAATTAGAGGGACACAGAAAGTCATAGAAAGCTCTAAACGTCTCTAAGCCTCTATTTTTTTCCATACTCTCTCATTTTTTTCATTTCTAAGCTTGAAAAATCAAGCTTAAATTCAAGTTTCTATGAAAATTTTCTTTTAAAAAAAAGAGTTACAACAAAACCAAGAAAATCTACCTTCCAAAAGATCCCAAGAACGAAATATCCCATTCATAAAGGCCATGGAAAACGCCATGAATACTAAATTTCGCTCTCAGAAATTCAAGGAATGTTGCATTTTTCATTTCAGAAATAACTGTTTGAATAAGTGACCGAAAAAAAAAAAATCGAAAAACCCCATTTTTCAAGCAGAAAAAAGCAAAGATTGGTTATGAAAAGATTCCCACAAAACCCATCAAATTATATGACGTTTCCCAAGACTGGAAAATAAGGGAAAGTTTTTGAAATTGAAAAATAGAGCAAGACGAGCTGCAATAGCCACTGAGGCCTACAGAAACCGAAGGAATGGGGCGGATATTTGCTCAAATACGGAAATCTCTCGACGCTGAACGCTTTTGACATGTTCCGGCACCAAGAAAATATGAAGGGAGAATTGGAATTCACAATCAGATACGAAAATCTACCGGCTCGCTAACTGACCTAATAACCGCTGAAGGTTGATATTAACTTTTTGAAACGTAGTTTCCACTGGAAAAAAAGAAGATTTCAAACAGGAGTTCAACGAAAAAAATAATTCGGACTCCGTGAAAACAAAAGTTTGAAATGAAAGATCCTCTTCAACTTCAAAGCCAGAGTGATCCCTATAGGGGTAAAATATAAGTGGTCTCTATAGGGATTTAGGGTTGTACCCCTTTGATCTTAAAGCTTAAGTGGTCTCTATAGGGGTTTGGGGTCGGGCCCCTTTGATCTTAAAGCTTAAGTGGTCTCTATAGGGGTTTGGGGTCGGGCCCCTTTGATCTTAAAGCTTAAGTGGTCCCTAAAGAGGTCTTTTGATTGATTTTTTTAAAGCTAATTTATTGAGTTTTCTACATGAAATTGTTTCTTTTATCAGAGTTCATAATAATAGATGAAGTCATAAGAAAAATCGAAAAAACCTCTTCAATTCCAATTCATTGCGAAATTCAACTTGAAATGACTCCAAAGAAAAAAACCAGTCCAATCTAACCCCAATTTTTCCAACGCAACTGAAACAACCAATAAAAAGAAAGAGAGAAATGGGTTAGAAGAAAAAAATCGATACTTTCAGTTTCCAGCTTTTTAAACTGTTTTCCGTTTAAATTTCTGGAATGGGGGCTACAAAAAAATTAAAAAAATTTATCAAAGTCGAGATAAATAAACAAAAAACGCTTAAGAAAAATAGTGAAAGTGAAGAAAAATCAGCTTTTCAGAAAATTTTGCAAATATGATTCAAAAAGCCTGAAATTTGAAGCGAAATCCAAGAAATTGGCCGAAAATATACCGAAAAATGGTTCAAATCTTCATCTCATAAACAAGTTTTCTCACAAAAACCGTCAAAATACTCGTCCCAGTTCTCGTAAAAAGAAAACTCGCAAAATCATTTCAATACGATCGAACAATACAACACGGAATGGAGGGAAAAGAAAAGAAAACTGAGGGAGTGAGAAAGAAGATAAAAATCTTCTTCCAACGACGTCGGCGAGAGGGTCTCGATCCGAAATCGAGATCACGAACATTTATAGAAGCTTAAAATATCAAGAATATCTAATTTCAACATGGAAGTTTTCAGAATGGAAAAAAAGTGACTTTTTGGAATTCTGAATAACCGAAAACTGTAGAAATCGCTTAAAATTGGGTAAAAAAATTTTTTTTTATAAAAATTCGCAATGGAGCACATTCAAATATTGAAAAACAGCCAATCGTCGTTTTTTTACTTTTCGAAGACGTAAAAGAGCCTGACTGTAAATAATAAAGTCCCAATTTTTTTTCTCATTTTTTACAGAGTCCATTGAAAGGGTAAAAAAACCTATTTTATATAAATTTCAACTTTTCTGGGTATTCAAGAGATAAATTTCAAACCTATGTCGAAAAAAATGAACATGGGAAGTCAGAAAAAAAGATAAAAAAATGTTCTAAAGAAGAATTCTTCGTCTTTTTTTCGCCATGGAGCGCACTTGATTCTCCGAAAAGCGCTTACTTTCTTTTTTTCATCAGGAAAGGGGCGGTGAAATTGGTAAAAAAATATTTTTGAAAAATGTTTTTTAAACCCTAAAAACTCGGTCGATATGGACAGAAAAGTTCTTACAGAGCTAAACTATGAAATACTGGCCAAAAAAAGTGGAAAAAAGGTTCAACTACTTCTTTTTTTCGAAAAACGTCCAGAAAAAAAAGTTCAAGAAATGCTCAGAAAGTCCTAAAAACTCGGTCGACGTTCCTATTGACACAGGGACGGAAAAAGGTGGGAACGGTCGAGTGGCTGAATGATACCGAGAAGGGAGGCGATCACGCATGACCGAAAGCGACGGCCGAAAAAATGGGGGCGGAGCGGGAAACCGTCGTCCGTCTGTTCAGGCCGAACACAAACAGCCGGGGAAAGATTGGAGCCACCTGTTACGGGATAAACGCCGTTGGAAAGGGAAAGGGTACTTCCGTAAAAAAAGAGAGGTATTCAAAATAGAGTTTTTTTTTGAGTTGGGAAGTTTGAAAATTTCTGAAGCCTATCCCTCTATCAAGGTTCGATAGAAATCCCTCAAAGTCGCAAAATTGTTTTCTGAGGATCTGATTTTTCAAAGTAGCAATATATCACAAGCCTGTTTCTTATCTTTGAGAATACATATCTCAAAAAAAAATCAAAGAGGATTGAAACATCGAATCATCAAAGAGTTTTTGAGCAAATTCTCACAAGGAAGGTCCTTTGACTCTCAGACTCCTGAAAATCGGCCGGAAAACTTCTTTATCCACCAAAAGTAGGTTTTAAAAATATTAACCTGCAAAACTTCCTATTTTTCGAGGAATAAAGACTCAAAGCTCTATCTTAACAGATTTCGAAGGTTCTTTTTGTCTTCAAGGTGTCCTTTTTCGAAAATTCAAATTTTTTGTAAGTTGAATCTTTCAAGAACTTAATCTAGTACATTGAGGAATGTTCTGGCCAATTCTTAGGAAAATCCCAACTACAAAGACCTTCCTTTTTCGGAGTTTTCGTGACTAAAAAGGACCAGATCTACATGAAAAAGCTCAAAAAATCAAACCTTGACCAAAATAAACGGCTAAAACCCTCAAAATTCAGTTTAGATTCCCCTCCCATCCGGCAACTAGTTTCAAAGGCGATCATCAACAATTCACACGCAAGAGCGAAAGGGCCAACGGAACGGCAACAAATTACGTGTTTCCGCTTCAAAACCTCCTTCTTCTATCGCCGCCCAGTTTGTCATTCATTTATTGTCCCTTCTTCCATTGATGACTGACCATGGGACGGGGTACAATAATAGGAGGACGTGCCAAAAACAAACCACAATTGGAAGAGTTTGGATAGGGTTGGTTGAATGGTATAGTAGGATAGTTTGTTTTTCACAAGTTGAAAAATTGGGAATGGAAAACGTTAGAAACTTTTGAAAACTTCTATTTGAACCGTCTAATTTTGAGAAAAGTCTTTTTTGAACCAGAAGAAGTAGAAAAGTAGAGTCTAACCTACCTTATTTTTTTCCCGTATCACAAAAAATTCCCCTAACTAGGAAACGTTTTTTACCCTTCGGTTGAACTTTTGATGAAACTTTGCTGAAACGTATTTTAGGACGTCCTGATTGCAGAATACAAGAAAAAATTCTCGCAATAAATCTCGCTTTCGAGTTAGGACGCTTCAAAAGCTCAAAACTACTATAAGATACTGTAAAACCTCTGAATCAACCATAATCAGTACTCAAACCTATAGGATTTTTTCCTGCACCTCAAAAAATCCTTCAAGACCAAAACTACTTGAAAAGAATCAGGAAACTCTTCAAAGGCCAAGAATTACTGAAGGAGAGCTCAAAAAGCTCCTAAAATCTACACCAATTTTTGTGAATCTCAAAAAGACCTTTTCAAAAGTCCCTCTCAAAAACGGTTCGTAAATGTAAGTGAGGAGGAAGGGAGGAGGAGGAGGACGTCAAATCGTATACAACGGCTGGCGCGAGAAAACTGAGAGGACGAGGAGGCGCTAAACACAGCCCGCCGAAACCCGGAGACAGGCCCTCGGTCCGACTTTTACCAAAACGAGGCGGCGGCAAAGTCGTCTCCGAACCATTCATACATATGCAAACTTCGTGGCGCCTTGGAGGGTTTGGCAGAAATTTCAGTAGTCGAAGAGAAGGAAAGCCTACATTTTTCGAAGGAATTTTCAGAAACTTTAAAAGTGAGCTTTTTTTTAAAGTTCATGCTCTGATCCCTGGTCAATATCCAATCATTTTTGTTTCATTTGAAATGATTTTTTTCAGGATTTTGAAGCACAGCTTTGTTAGAACTCAAAAACAACCAATTTCCTTGAAAGGCTTTTTTTAAAGTTAAAAGTGCGCTCCACAGCAAAAAGGTTATTTTCTGTTCCAGGATTTCGAAGCACAGCTTTTCCAGAACTCCAAATCAACCAATTTTCTCGAAAGGCTGTTTCTAAAATTCATAGTTTGCTCCATAGCAAAAAGGTTTTTTTTTCCGTGTCGGGGTAAGTTATCGTTTGAAAGATTTTTTTTCGCGTATCAAATTTGAAATATTCTTTACTAAGGCTTAAAATGACCAAAAATTGGAGAAATCAGGCTGTTTTCACAGACAATGATGCACACGGAAAATCAGATTTATGTTCAGCTCAAATTCAAAATTTTCGAGAAAAAACAGCTTGAAATTGTCTGATATCTCTGCGCCCTCTTTTTCTATGACCTCGTCGAAGGTGAGAGAAAAGAGAGCGCAGACAGGTCAGACAACCTCTAAAAAGCTATGGAGAGCATTCGATTTCTTTTTGATCAGCTTGAATTACCCAACTTTTCATAAAAACAAACTGGGAAACAAGAAAAAGAAGGAGTGATGAGAGGAACGTTTTGACACGGAATATAACACGATTTACGACCTGGGAGCGTCGATTTTAACGCTTGAAAGGGCCTTTCTTCAAAGACCATCACAGCTTTTCCACAAAAGCCACACTCATTCGACCCGACGGGGAAACGGGTTCAAAGTCAAACCGAATCATCACATTACAGGTAAATGTAATGGAGTTGTGAATGGGCGAGAAGAGATGGAATGAAAGAGAGAATAAACTTTTTTGGCTTCTTAAAAAGGTGTTATCAATGAAGCGAAAAAGATGCACAAAAATGGCCAGTTTTTGGATATCATTAAGAAAAAAATCCTTTCCGCAAACCCGGTTTATTGAGCAGGGAATAGCTTGAAAAATTTTTAAAAGTTCTCTGAAACGGCGTTTTGTTTTAGTTTGTCAGGATGAATATTGAATCTTTTTCTTCACATAAAAAAGGACGAAGGACATTTTTTTCCTATGCTTTGAAGCTTACAAATTGCGTAATAAATACGGAAAATCTCGAAAAAACATCTTGATTTGAATAAAAAGTATAGCTTGAAAATTTGATTTCTTCAAAAAAAAAAGGAACTCGAAAAATTCAAAAATTTCTGGATACCTTTTCGTGTCTTTGTTTTAGTCTTGGAGCGCGTTTGAATACATGAAAACCGCCTACTGTTCAAGTAATAACTTTTAGAGTCGTCGAAAAAAAAAAACCACGAACTTCTATAGAAAAAAAAATTTCGAAAAAACTAAATCAAAAAAAAATCCATCACCCGATCATCGAGTACAGACAAAGGAACAGCTGGGGGTCGGGAAAACGACATTTTTTTCTTCAATGTCGATGGGAAAAGAACGTACAAGGTCAGCAAGACCGTTAAGGTAACGAAATGTGATCAGATTTCAGAGTAGTAATCGAAATAGGAAAGGTTGAGGTGAATGAATCAAAACAAAAAAAGATTTCGGAAATTATTAATTCAGAATTTAGCTCGAAAAATATCTGGAGAAAATTCCACCCCTTCAGAAGCGAATTTCGGCCTCATTTACCCAAAATCTAAGCCCCAAAAGTGAAAATGAACCATTTTTCTCAACTAAAAAAAAAACTAAAAAAAGTCAATTGCCGCTTTTTTTCATAAATATATCATAAACCAACAGGACTATCTACTTATAATAAAAAAAGTTTTAAATACCAATAAATTATGATTTTTTTGATTTTCATACGTCTCAAATCTCGTACCAAAGTTCAGTAATCCAATGACACTTTCAAAAAAACTGTGAAAAAAAGTTAGCCTCAAAAACCAATGATGGTCTGAAAAATAAAAGAGGAAAAAAGAGGGAAAAATCTGGAGTTATTCTTTTAATTTTCAAGCGCTTCAGAAGCGGGCTTAGACTTTATTATTTCATGAAAAAAAGAGTCTTTTTTTCTTATTTCTAACACGAGGAAGTCAGATTTTAACAATTATTTTTTATTTTCTACCTTTCATAAACCTCGAAATTTGTAACAGAGTGCAGCTCTACAAAATTTTTGCAAAAAGCAGTGCCTATGCCGGCATTCTGCAAAAAAAGCTTCATGCACTTGGCAAATCAGTGCTTTGCATTTTGCACAGAAGTACCTCGCATTTTGCACTTTTTTTTCGTCTGTACAAAAGTGAGACCAAAAAGAAATGCAAAATGCGAGGTTCTTCTGGGCAAAATGCAAAGCTCTGACCTGCACAATGCATGCAACTTTTTTTGCAGAATGCCAGCATAGGCACTGCCTTTTGCAAAAATTTTGTAGAGTTGCACGATTTCAGTAGAGAGACTTCAAGAAACAATGCGAAACCTAATATCAATAAATAAATAAAATGGGAGAAACAGGGAAGCCGTCTGGTCTTTTTTTTTAACTTTCAAGCGTTTTAAAGCTAGTTTTGAACTTCTCATCTAGGATTCGGAGTCCCAAAAATTAAGAAAATGAAAGAGAATTTGAAAAAAACCATTAATTTTATATTTTTCGGTTTTCCCACGCCTAAGAGTACGTACCAAATTCCATGGGTTCAATTGTACCTTTTTAAAACCGCGAAAACGAAACGAGATCAAGTTCAAACCGAATGGCGATCCAAAAATAAAATGGAAGAAACAGGGAAGCCATCAGGTCCTTTTTTCCAATTTTCGAGCGTTTCAAAGCTAGTTTTGAACTTTTCATCTAGGATTCGGAGTCCCAAAAATTAAGAAAATGAAAGAGAACTTGAAAAAAAACCATTAATTCTATATTTTTCGGTTTTCATACGCCTCAAAGTACATACCAAAATTCATGGGTTCAATTGTACCTTTTTAAGACAGAGAACAAAACAAGATTAACTTCAAACCCAATGGTGATCTAAAAATAAAAGAGGAGAAACAGGGAGGTCATCTGAAGAGGGTGTCGATGTCCGGGCCGAAGGGGAGGATGACCTCAGAAACAGCTGCCGTCCCACAGCCGTTCCTGCTAATTTCCCTGTGCCAAGGATACTTGACCCTTTGCTTTACAAGTCTATTTCTTTATCGAAAAAAATTCATTAAGTTCTTGGATAATTCTTAAGATTAAAAAAAGGTGATTGAATTTTTCAGCTTCAGATTCGAGCTTTCAAGTTATTGAAATCATTTTTTTCTATGTCATAAAAAAATTATCCGAATTAGAAGCATATTTTTTTGAGTCCAGTTAATATTCATCTAAAAAAATCATGAAATAATGAAGACAGTTGTAAAAAAATTATTCAAAAAAAGGTGGGGGCCATTTCGACAGAATATTTGTCTTTTTATGGTACCCCAATCATTGGAAAAACTTTTTTTGAATAAAAAATTGACTTTTCATCACATTTTTCAGCACTTCCTTCACAAATATCGATAGAAAACATTGAAAATCGGCTGTTTTCTGCTAAAAACTCTCCAAAAAAGCATTTTAAAATAAATTTTCCATGTTTTCTAGGTTAAAAAATCAAGGTAAAAACGTGTTTTCCCTTTTAATAGTTTTAAAAAAGTACATTAAAAAGTTAAAATACACGAAAAACTTTTAAAATCTTCGAAAAACTTCAGAAATTCCGAGAAAAAACGCTCATAAATGGACAAGAAAACGAAAAAGGTGCAGATATAATCCTTCCGGACATTTAGAAGCCATACAAATTGCCTCCAAGATTCCGTGTGAATAGAGTGAACCGGCTTTTGAGCTTTTCTATTCGTTATTCGTATAGAAAAGATACTAAATCGAGCCAAATTGTTATATAAGTGAACAAAAAAATTGTCGGAAGACAAGTACAAGTTGATTTTGAAGGGTTTGACTTTGATTTCATTCAAATTTAATAAAAAGTTTGGATTCCATACTACTTGAAAAGTTTGGAAACAAGAGAAAAAAAGGCCCTAAAAAGTCATAAAAACCCAGTTTTTTTTTCGATTCGAGAACTTATTTTACTGTTTCAAGACCAAAATTTAAACTTCTTGGATTCGTCTCACGACATTTTCAAAAAAGCGGCTTATAAAAACGAATATACAATAAATAAAATGAAATATAATCATTTAAAGAAAAATAGAAACCATACAAATATTTCTGATGAAAATCCATGAAATTTGAAAATAATTTCAAAAAAAAATGCGTGTTTTAATTTAATTTACGAGAAGTACGATAAGAAAAAGTCACGAGAAATGAATCAAAAACTGAACTTATAACGCATTATACGTTTCAAAACTATAACTTTAAAATTCTTTTGCAATTTCAAGGACGTTATTGATTCAAAATCATTCACAAAATCAAAAAAAAATTTTTTTATTTCAACAAAAAAATAAGATTTATACAATAAATTTTAGTTGAAAACCCAAAAAAACCTTTCAAAAAAATATGTTAAACAAGTTTGAAAAAAATAACAGAATTCCAATAGAGTTGAAAAAAAGAAACTGAGAAAAATTAGACCCGGGAAAAAGATTCTTTTTGAAAGAATAGAGCCAATTGGAGCTGATTTCACTGTTTCGAGGCTTAATTTTTTTAATTTTCGTGACATTTATCTGAGTATTGAATGAAAAAGGAATGAAAAAAAGTCAACTTGGTATTTCAAAGGTTTATAAAAAAAGTTCAAAAAAATTACAAAAAAAGCACAATTTTTTTACCCAAAAAAATACAGCCAATAACCTTTGATTCGAATTTTTCTCAAAAAAAAGTTTTCAAACTTCAAAACAAATCCCAGGCTAAATATCAAAATGAGTCCGATTTCTGGATATCATATCAATTTCGGGAGATATCTCATTTCCACGGGAAATCTCCTTTTCCGTTGGAATTTGACACCATCAACAACTGTTGTGACGTTTCCGAATGTTCCTCATCAATTAAATCATCCGAAAGTGATAAGAAAGAGAAAATTGTGGATCAATGGCTTGAAAAGTTAAAAAATGATGCATTTTTCCCTTTTTTTTTCCAAAAATCAAAAGTAAATTCATTGACCCATTGTCGATTTTAAAGCGAATTTCGATAAGTAACTCGAAAAACCCAGCAAAAAAGTACAAATAATCCTGATAAAACAATTTTTTCTCAAAAAAAGTGGAGAAGTTTCTAGAAAACGGCCCTCTCAAACGACGAACATTTTACCCATTGTTCTTCCCAAAAACGGCTTTTGAAACGCAAAAAAAAGGAACAAAACAAAACGGGAAGAAAAATAGAAAAAATGCACACAAACATGATTTGAAACGTTAGAAAATGACGCATTTTTTCAGAATTTCAATCTTATTCCGCAAAAAAGAGGTTGTAGTGAGTGAAAAATCTACTTTTTATTCTTATAAAGCTGAAAAAAATGTTTTTTTGAAATTATAAATCTAGACTTAGTAGAAGAAAAACTTTAAAAAAACAAAATAAACTTCTCACTTATAACATCGCTTTCCGCGTCTCAAAAATCCTGAAAAAAATTGAAAAAAATCATTTTGAGAGTTAAAAAAAGATCAGAACTCTTTGAAACCTTCTCAGTGGAAACAAAAAGGAATCTCAAAATTTTCCATTGGACTTCTATGTTGCTACGGAACATGGGGCACAAACTTGAGTTGTTAAAAACCGGCCAAAAAGTTGAACATTTCCCTAAAAGATCGCATTTTGAAGCTGAAACAATACACTGAAACCTCCATTTCTCAAAACGGGTTCAAGGAACCAATTTCCAATTTCCAAACCAATGCATTTCAATGCCAAATTCGCAATTCGAAACACCACGAAATGGCGTGAAGAATCGCGAAATTGTGCACAAATTGGGTGTGTGGCGGCAAAAGGGAAGCCAATTTCCTACTCCCTTGCAAAGTCAATTAAGATTCTTTTGGGCATAATTGAGAGCTCAGAACATCGAAAAATGGCCATTTATATCGAAATATTTTCAATTCAATCGGATCAAGAACATTTTCTGAAACAAAAAACTCTAGGGAAAAGTTTTAAAGAATGAAAAACCTGATAAGAATCGCTGACCTTCAAGAAAACAAGCTAAAAATCGTTATTTTAATAAATACCAAGATAGATGGAACCTAAAAAACATGAAGATTCGCCAGAAAGGTTCAAGCTCAAAAGTGACAAATACTCTAGCTTTTTTGTTGAAGGCTATAGTTGCTCCAGGTCCCAGAAAATAGAAAATGAGCGGCGATTTGGCACCTGCCCGGGGAGGTTCCGTTTTTCGGCCAATGGCTACTTTCTTTGTGGGTATTGAGAGAATATTCCTATTTTCACAGGATGAAAAGAAGGATTTTGTACCTTGTGTTATTGGATGAATAGGGGGCCATTTATAGCGATCCTAATCGTGTTTTTCGAAGCTTGGAAGGAGTCGTATAGCTTTTTTTGATAATCTGATTTTTTTAATCTTGGAAATTTTTTTAATCTTGCAAAACTTATCATCCTTCACGGCTTGAAGAATCTGACTTGTCTGCGCTCTCTTTTCTCTCATCAAAAGGACTAAAAAAGCATGAAAACAGCAGGAAAAATGAAAAAACTATAGATAAACCTGACCATTTGGAATTTTAGAAAAATCAAATTTCGAAACTTCTGATCATCAGGGACATCTGTGGGTACAATTAAATCGAAAGAGGGAATTTTTGGGAAAAACTGTAGAAATTTATCAATGGAGCAAACAAGCCTTTGAAAATCTCTTTCTTCTCAACGTCTAAAACTCAGAATGAACATAATTTTGAGTGTTTGAGGGTCAGTGAATCATGAAGAAAACGGCCCACCAGATGTCGCTCAGAATTTCTGACTCATGTCAGCTAATTTCGGACATTGTTGCGAATTTGGATAATTGGAAGTGAAAAGGAATCGGGAATTCGAGAATATGTTGTTTCTTGAACTCTACTACCATAAAACCATGTAAAATTGAACATTTTTTTCTAAAAAAAAGGAAAAAAAAGTTAGAAAATGATGAACTTGGCACATATCTCTAATAACGCTCCAAATTTGTTCATTGCAGAAAAAAAAAATAAACTGTTGAACTTGAATTAAAATCCTTAAAAAACAACCATTCCGACCGAAAAAGTCCCATAAAAGTCCACCAAAAAGGACAGGGTGCACCCGAAAACGAGGAGCTCGAATTTTCCCGTCAAACATATCGAGTTACAACATAATTGAACATCTTCAGAATGACGTCAGTATCTTGAAAAAACGACCTTTTTCGGGTATGAACGGAAGAAAAATGTCCGGAAGTACAAAAAGTGACAGAAAAGCTTCAAGTTGAGCCTTTGATTGGAGAGCAATTTCGAATGGAACTCTAGAAAGAATAGGGAAAATCTTTTTTCATTCCTTTTTAGAGGAAGAGGTCACTTGAGTGGTTATGGCAGGATTCATAGAAGCTGAGGAACGCCCCGGTCGGCTAGCCCTTTTCAATAATCATCTCTTAATCCTTCAAGTATCCACTAAAATGATCCTACAACAGCTCCCCTGTCGGAAAGTCTTCTTCAATATTTTCGCTATCCTCCTCTAAGTGACCACTAAAGGGGTTCTACAACAAAGCCTCCTGTCGACTCTTTAATATTCGTCTCTACCTTCTAATCCTTCAAATGCTCACTAGAGTGATCCTACAACAAAAAGTCCTCTGCAATATTTTTCTCTCCATTTTCCTCTAAGTGCTCACTAAAGGGATCCTACGAAAAACCATACTGTCGAGTCATCTTCAATATTCGTCGCAAGTGCTCACTAAAGCGATCCTAAACTCTCCTGTCGGCAGGTCAACAGATAAATCGTCTCGAGTGTCAAAACAGCCGCCGCCGTGATTAATACGAGAAGCCGCTCATTACTACAAAACCGGGTCAAAGAAATAGTCGGACGAGCAGAGGAATGGTCGCTCTAGGGATATTACAGGATTTTGTTCGAAATCAAAAAAATCACAGAAAAACTTTACACAAAAAAACCTGAAACCGCTTACAAAATTTAGTCAAAAGAGAAACATTGATAAGCTTGAATTTCAATTCAAAAAAGTGTTAGTGAAATATGTACAAAATTTTCCCTGTAACTTTTTATTTTTTGCCCTTTTCATCGATTTTTTTTTTGTCCTCTCTTCATTTTCTTCGCGTGTGAAAAACCAAAAAAGTACCTAAAATCCGTGTTGGAGTGCGACTTGGAGGTGGTGACAGGCGAGGCGAAATCATCGACGACGCCAGTTTTCTCGTGCGGATGATCGAACATCCTCAACCTTCGCTCGACTATACTTTCGCCCATCATCTGCTTCGCCTCGGTTTCCGGCTTCCTGACGGGAGATCTGGAAGAGTTTGAATACTTATAGTGTAAGGTTGTTTTTTTAAATCTTTTTGTAGGGAGCGTTTTTGAAAACTTGTAGAGCTTCAAAAATATTCATGCCCTGATAGATGCTTCGATTTTTTTATTCAAAAACATTTTTTTCAAAAATAGATTGAGGATGAAAAAAATAAACGAGGAAAAAAATGAAGCCACACTGAAATCGTGGCAGTCTCCTTTCTAGACATTTTTTTCTTGATTTTTCTTGAATATCGATAGTAGCTTGATATATGGTAAAAAATAAGAAGGCGGCAATAAAATAATTATAATCTGCTAGAACCCGGTGAAATTCGAGATTTTGAAGACAAATAAAAACAGCGCTCGCGGGCGTCGAACTCGCGACCTCTGAACTTAAATTCCCAGCTCGCGCGCTGCGCCAAACTGTTAGCATTTTTTTCTAGAGGCAATTAATCGAATCTTAAAATCTGAAAAAAAGTATTTTTCAAAATAATAATTCAACTAATCAAAAAAACACATTAGAGCAAAAATTTTTTTCTCGAAAAACCTCTTCTCTCAAACTCGAGAATCATTACCAAAATAAAAAAATTCAGTTTAATAGAATTACAGCATGATGGACAAATGAGAAACTTCTCAAAGGCTTTGGAAAAAAAAAAATTCGACTCGAACAGGCATGCTGGAAAAGTCGGTCGGTTCGGTTCGGTCGGTCGGTCCGTTTCGAAAACTAGGTCACGCCGCAATATGCTCGACGGAACTCTTAGAACCTATATCCTAGAAAACTGATAAAAAGGAAGGAAAAATATAGAAAAAGAGAAAAAAGTGTGAAATTCGGTTTTCCATGGAGCAAAATTACGGCGTGGCCTAGTTTTCCAAATTGACCGACCGACCGACTTTTCCAGCATGCCTCTCGAACAGCGGATTATGGAAAAAAGTATGAACTATATTGAATAGAAAAAATGAAACAGGAGACATTCCGAAGGAAAATATGCAGCCCGAGATTAAAATTCACAACCAAAAAAAAAACAAGAATCGCGAAAAAGTGAGAATCCTAATCTCCAATTTGACAATATTAATCAAATAATCATTCTCCTCCAAAAATCGATCACCAAAAATGGATATAAGCTAGAAAAAGTGTGCGGAAACCCACGTTGGTTCAAAAAATGACATCGCAATCGGTTTGAGTCGACGTAACTTGTACGAAATGAAGTTTTGGCGGCATTTTCTTCGAACAAAAAAAAAAACTACGCGGCCCATTATCTTTTGACGCCATCAAAGTGTTTCTCGTTGAATGGAGAACAAAGGGATCCGACGTCGAATGGTCACAAAGTTATATCCAAACGGAAACGATCGCTTTTTTTTTACTCTTTTTCAACTTTCGAGAGAGAAAGAGATACATTTCTTATTTTCTGTTATTTTATAACTTCTCCTCATAAACCGCCCATCTTTGAAGCCACTTCCCAAGTTTTCCTGGAATAAATCCTGAGGCTAGTATCTATTTTTATACTCTCTCGGGTTGAAACCAACTGATTTTTTTAATTTTATAAAAATTTTTTTAAATTTTCGGAATTTTTTTGTAAGCGTACCTTCTCCTGGACGTATTGAGTTCTATGCTTTTTCTGTTCCATTATTTTTTTCATTTTACAACTCATCGATACCTATCTCCTACTAGAACTGGGCGGTACTCAAATTCCAAAAAAAGGACATACACACCAAAAGGAGCTCAATCGGAAACATCGAATTTTTCGTCTTTGAGACCCCCTAACTTTTTCCACAGACCTCAAAGGCAACTTTTGAGCATAGATTTGGAATCAGCGTGAAAAATTACATCTAGTGAGCCTAGTCTCATTCAGAAACCTCACTGTAAGCTGAGAAAATTCTGGTAAGTACGAAAAAAAGCCCAGTTTTTTGGATTTCGAAGGAAATTTTCTGTACTTTTCGTCTTCAAATGACATTTTTGGCGGGGGAAGACTGATGATTGGACTTCGAGAAAAAAGATATTTTAAAGTCATTTCGAAATAACTTTTCGGAGCATGTCTATCACTTCATAATCCCCCTCATCTTCCACCTAATCAATACCGACTTGGTGTATCCATTGAGCGCCTTGGAGATGCGAAGATAGCTGGGAGTCCTGGCCGGCATGTCGAAGTCGGCGGCGGAAGACGTCAGGTCGTTCTCCGACATGAACGCCCGAGCCGTCGAGTCTCCCAGGTCGGCGTTCTGCAACAGAAACGACGTTCAAAGGAACGCTTCATATAAACTATAAAGATTATGATTATTTGAGTTCATATTGATCTCTCTTACTAGGAAAATCATTTCACTTTGCGCTTGGGGAATTCGTGAAATTGGCCAGAACAATCCTTTATGTACCAGAAGACGATTTTAAAAGTCTCAACTTGCACAAATTCCTAGTTTTCAAGAAATAAGGGTCTAGAGCCCCAAAAGAGCTAATTTTAATGGATTTTGAGCGTTTTCTTTGAAATTGCAGCGTCTTTTCATAAAAAGGAGAAAGTTGGGAGAAAAGGAGGAAGAAAAGGAGAAAGTTGGGCAGATTAAGGCTTTCAGAATCTTTTTCTGGTACATCAAGGAGTGTTCTAGCCAATTTTCAGAAAAAAAACACCTGACAAAAATCATTTTTCAATGATAATGATCGAAAAAAAAGAACATTTAAAACTTTTTTGAAAAATCAGGAATAAAGTCTAAAGTGGCTAGACTTCATGGTTGAGATGTATAACGAGTCAAAAACCATTAAAAATCATCAAAAACTTTTAAGAAATTAGGAAACACAACCGTTTCACAGGGAACATATAAAAATAATTATTGCAGTTGAAGTTGATCCTTTCTGATGAAATTTAACACATGATTGTAAAAAGTTTTTTAAAGTTTTTCCTAGTGTTCACGAAACCCTTGTAGTTCGAAGATTTTTTTACAGTGTCTTTCAATAATTTACGCTCAAACATTCAATAAAGCTGAGTTTTAAAAATCGTTAAAAATTTATTTTAAGCCATATTTCAGCGATAAAAAGACCAAAAAGACCTCTAACGAGCGAAAAATGTTCGATAACCTCTACTTCCTTCAAGTAAAGCTCAGAAAAAAAGTCGGAATACTACGGAAAATGACCAAGAATGGGTGTTTGAGTGTCGTTAATGTGAAAATTGCCGCAGCTGGACATATTTGAGGCCACTTGAAGTGCTAAGAATCGAGAAAATACGAGGGTTTGAAAAGTCGAAATTTTCCAAACTTGACTAACGTAAAACTTGCGGACGGAAAATAATAAAAAATGAATTCACTGTTCCATAAAAAAATGCCAATTTTCATGCATAGGACCTAGTGAGGCAGGCAACAAGTCGGGAGAAAGGTCTCAAAACAACAATTTTGTTCATCTTTTTTTGTTGGTTTGATTTTTCAGATTTTACAAAAAAATTTTTCTGTTTGTTCGGTTTGTTTTCTGAATCTTTTTAAAAAAATGCTTCCAATCGGGTAATTTATTGAATCAACTTATCTTGATTTCTGTTTATAGAAATTCCGAAAAAGGAAAGCGATAGAGACCACGTGATTTACTTTTCCGAAAAAGTTTATGAGATAGTTGATCGTGGCCCTTTTTTCCACTAAAATCAATGAAAGTTGGGATTTTCTGAGATCCTATTGAACGTGAGCTCTATAAAAATAATTTCACGAAATGAAACTTAAAAATCGGATTAGAATGGGGGAAGATAGGTGAGCCACGCAGATCAATTTTTGTTGTTACTCGATTTTTTGTGGCCTGAGCTCGACACAGAATATCGATGTTATTTTGCAACACCCCCTTTTTTTTTAAAAAAAGTAATTTTTTTAAGTCTTCAGGACTTTTTTTATGCGTATCGTTACACAAAATTTGAAATTCGCTAGATTCCAGAGTGAAAAATCAAAAAAATGACTGTTATTTAGGGACATAAAAGACTTTTTCTTACAAATCGGGAAAAATTTTTAAGGATCCAAAAAAATTTAGGAAATCTGGGAGAAAAAAAGCCGTTTTCCGTGATATTTAGAGACATAAAAAACCACTTTTCTTTTAAAAATCCTCAAAAAAACTTTTTTTAAACCAGTTTTTCTTTTTTGGAAGGCCTCGAAACCTTTTATAAACTTCTTATTTCTCGGAATTCACATTTCTCTCCAAAAATTTTGACAAGCAAAAATCAAAAAGAACCGTTTTTTTTATATATATATATATATATATATGAAAGACACTTTGCCTTCAGAAACCCCGTAAAACCGATTCTCGAGGCCTGGAAACTCACAAAATCGCGTCGCATCGTGACGAATCTGAGGTCGAGGTCCGAGACGGCGCTGACGCCTCTCGGGGAATCCATCATGGGGGACGGGAAGCTGACCTCGGCGCCAGGCCGGAAAAGGTCCGTTTCAGAAGCGAAACCGACGTGTCGCTGAACCGGCGTCGTCGGCGGCGAAGAATCCTTTTCTGATCGGATCTGAAACATTGAAGTAATTCCACAAAGCAATTTTGAGATGCAATGCCGTGTTCAAAGTTAGTCAGCGATTTTCAAATAACCTTCAGGTCGTGAAAAAGATAATTAAATGCTGGAGAGTCAGAGACGATTTGAATCGCATCAAAAATGATAAATTTCAGAAGGTCGTAAGTTGTCATGTAATTGTTTGCCTCTACTGTTTTAAAACGATTCGAATTGTTAAATGTTTGAAAATTGGTATCCTCTCTCAAAAGGTGAAGCTTTTTGTGATATTTTCATAGCCGATATAGGTCATTCCGCGCCAGCTTTTCACGATTTTAGTTTTCCTCGGAGCTACAAAACCCCTTTCGGAGCTTCGATTCGATGCTCTCGGTGTTCCCCCTGCGTGCGCCTTTAATAAAACCTTTAATAAATTATTTCTGATTAAGATATTGCTTCAATTTTCTCTATCTCTTTTTATTAATTTACGAGGTTGTTTTTCAATGGATTTATTTCCTTTTTTTCGCTTTAACTATACACACTCAGATTCTGTGCTGGATTTGTAAGAAAAAAGAAAATCAAAAAGATTGAATTACTACTTTTCAATTGTTATTAATGAAACCGACTGTTCGAGCTTTTTTTTGCATATAATTTTTGGGTTAGTTTGATATAAAATTTGATGTTACAACTGTTTTTGTAGAATAAGGAAATTCCAAATTTCGGGAATAATGAATTTTATTAAAGGCGCACGCAAGGGGGCACACCGAGTGCATCGAAGCGAAGCGCCGAAAAGGCTACTGTAGCTCCAAATAAACTGGAAATCGTGACAAGCTGGCGCGGAATGACCTATATTTCAAATGCTTACAAAAAGCTCCACATGAAAATATTCTTATTTAATTTTTACTGAACAGATCTTATTGAAGCTTAAAAATACGAACAGATGAAATATTGAGGAGTGCAGAATAAAACAAATTAAAGAACTAGAGAAACTCATAAAAATCCGGAAAATGAGAAATCGAAGTTGTTTGAAAGCTTGTGGCTGTGAAGGCTTCAGAAGCTCATTTTCGAGATTTTCATGAGTTTCTTTAGTTCTTCAACTTGTAAGATGAAGATTTAAAAGATCCAAGCTAACATTATAAAATCCTTTTCAACTTGAAATAAGGAAAAGCATTCAATTTATGTTCCCAAATCTGAAACGAACCCTTTCGCGACTTCTGAACGACATTCTGTTGAGGAGCTGCTTGGCGCCCCACTTTTTCGAGTTCCGATTGACGTCATTCGAATCCTCCTTCGTGGGGAATGACGTCGATTTGGATCTTTGTTTCGTGGTCAAGGCGTCGTGACTCCTTGAAGGGGTCACTTCAGGGGTGACTCCGCTAAAAGTCAAAAAATCATTAGAAAATGAAAAAAGTTTTTACTGTCCAATATATGTTATATCGCTTAGGAGCTTCAGAGTGGCCCCTATAGGGATAAGGGAGGAAAGCAGTCTCTATAGGGGCCAAAAAGTGGTACCTATAGAGGTGACAACAAAGTGGTCCCTACAGGGGTTTCGGGTCTGGCCCCTCATCTTCTAAAGCTCAAGTGGTCCCTATAGGGATCTTTCAAGTTCATTTAAAAAAGCGCTTGTTTATTTAATTTTCCCCATGGAAATGCTTTTTACTCAGAGTACATAAGAACGTCCCTATAGGGGTTGCTAAAGTGGTCCCTTAACTCGCCCCTATAGAGACCCCTTTAGAGTTCCTAAGCGGGACACTTTCCAAAACAACAAAAAAAGAAAAATAAATACTTTGCATGAACTTTCCGCTCCTGGCTTCTACTGCGACTGCGCATCCGTCGGAAGAAAGATCCTGAAAACATAAATTTATGATTAAAAGATGATAAATGATAAATAGAAAAACACTTTTTTTGAACTTGAAATAATAAAAAAATAGTTCCATAAACAAATTTCGTTAAGAAATGGTTCAGAAAAATTTCATTTAAAGCGAATTTTGACTTCATTTTGGTATCCAAATAGCTTCAACTCTCAAAAATTATGATTTCGCTACCGGATTTTTCACAACTAGAATAGAAAAATAACTGTAAACTTTTGAGAGAAAAATTAAGGAACCGTAAAAAAATCAAAAAGTTCGAACAGAAATGAACTTATTTTTTTCTCATGAAGAATATTTAATTTCAAATATTAATAACCGATTTCCGAATAAGGTAACAAAAAGACGGGAAGAAAGAATTTCGCATCATTTTTTTCGCTCGATAAAAAGAAAAAAATTTCTCTTCTCATGATTTGTTTCATATTATAATCCAGTTTCGTAATTATTTCTTGGAATCTACATTTTTTTCCTACACTTTATAATGTCCATTAAAAAAATGAGTGCGATAAAAACGAGAAAAAAATATTTTTTTTGAAAAAAATAATAAATTTTAACTCAAATCAAGTTCAACTATTTTTTTAAAAAGTCATTCCAAAAACCTCAAATCTATAAAAATCTCTTCAAATCGCGCCTTTCTTCTTAAAAAAATATACCTCACGAGTTGGAAAAATCTGAAACCGTTCAATTTCACCGAAAAAAATTAATAAAAAAATCAGCCACATTTTTTTCTGTAAATTCTACTGAAAAATCGAAAAAGCCAACCAATAATAGATTTTGGCGGCTTTTTCAAAGTCGAGCTTCTGCTCTTCGGACGCCATTTTTTTAATATCGTAGAAGTATAAATATTAATATCGTCGTGACTTGATTTCGTTGAATCAATCAATTATTAGATAAATCACCTGAAAAAAATATAGTTGATTCAAGTGAACATTAACGTTGGAAAAAACGGGAAAAGACGCGAAAACAGAAAAAAAAACTGGCTTGAAAGTCTATAATACGGATGAAATAATTTATTAAATCAGAAAAAAAGGGAAACGAACGCTTCTAGAAAACTTGAATCAAGACTTGGAACTTTAAAGAAAAGGAAATCAACCAGAAAAACACAAAAATGGACAAAAATCGCTTCAAAATATGTTATATGAGTATTGACTATGAGAAAAAAATGGAATTATCTATGAAATCAACAGAAGCTCCTTTATATCTCAATCAAAAATGTTTTTTTAAAAAAGCGATCGTTAAAAAAATCCACGTGAAAAATCTGAAACTCACCAGAAAGAATGCAAAAAAATGATGAAAAAAAGTTTAAAAAAATCTATTTAGATCCTATCAAATGTATATTTAATGAGATAGTTTCTGAATTCGAAGATAAAGTGATACAAAAAAACTTTTTTTCAAAAATCTGAATCAAAAAAATGAAAAAAACTTCATATAACCAATTATCTAACCGAAAACCCATCTAAAAAAACCTCTAAATATACCGGGAAATCTAAGAATTCGAGCATTCAATCACTGAAAAATTAACTTATTCTCTTATTTTCCAACAGAATTCCGCTAGAAACTCCAATAAAATATCGGAAGAAGCCTCAAAAAACTCCACAAAGAGAGGAGAAAATCCGACTTTGGTACGTGGGGAGATGATGAACGTAAAGCAAAAAGGTAAACAGTATACGCAAATAAAAACGTGGGAATTTGAGGCAAAAATGCGGACTTTTTGGGCCGAATTTCTGATTATGGGCAAATGTATTCCATTTTTGAGCTGATGGAAAGCTAAAAATAGGTATAACTGTTCAAAAATCTTATTAAAATTGAATCTAAACGGCTCTTCGCTTTGAGACCAACACTAAAACATCCAATGGTCCTTTAAAGGATCCCGGAAGCATTTTGGAGAGTTTGAACATGATGAAATATACGGAAATTCAAGCTCATGTCGAAAAAAATTCAAAAAAGCTTCAGAAACAAGATATAAATTTTGATGGTCAAAAAAAAAAATTATAAAAAAGAGCAGTGAGACAAAATAACTCAATAGAACGGCTGAATCTCAAAGAATGAAATGAAAATTCCAAAATTAATCAGGAATTCAAAAAATCCTCTAATTTGCTATATTTGCCCACTAAATTTGTCACAGCTAAAAAAAGGTTTAAAAAAACAATGTGAATGAGTAAAATGATTTATGTTCAACCCGAAAGATGAAAAAATATCGCGCTCGATTTCAATCGTAAAAAACCACACTTTATCAAGAATTGAGTGTGAAAATGACTCAGAAAACGTAAAAAAGAAGCTTCGAAGGCTTGTAAAACCAGGAAACGACTGATAAAACACACTCGAACCGTGCAAAAATTGCAACTATTTGCTTAGTCATCAAGGGGGCAAAAAGAAGCGCCGAAAACCAAGAGTCAATTAGAGTCATTGTTGCGAAATGCACGAAATTCCTCAAGTTTTCGAGAAAAAACGACTTTTTTCATTTTTGAGCTTTTTCAAACAGCCATGAATAGAATATATATCAGTTTCTCTACAAAACTACAAATCCGGACAGAAATAACAAAATCTTTCAACCAACTAAAAAAAAAAGATAACCAAAAATCCGCTCATGATCAACGTCGCACACACGACAAATTGGATTCCAAACACATCCGTTTAGGGCCAAAAAAAAGGCTGAAAAATTCCAACACGCCATCTTTTTCTCCCCCAAAACAAAGGGATTCACTTCCCAAAAAGAAAAGATCAATTTCAAAACGGAACAAAAAAGAGAAAAAAGGTTGAAAAACGACGAGAGTCGGACTAGTTTTTCATGGGAACTCGGGCGAAAAATCGTACTATATAGTTCAACCGGAAAAATCTTGCAGAACTTATAAAGTAGCATGGAAAAAGTTTGAAGAAGGTGTTTTTTTAATGAAGATCTTCTGAGAAAAACAAAGTTTCTATTTTTTTAAAAGTATCGTTTATAAGTATCTTCTTAATCAATTAATAATATTTTTTTCTCTTTCATAGGAACAAAATTCGAAGCTCCTGACTGACTAGGTGACACCTCCAAAAGCGGAAAAAAATAACCCCAGAAAATGGAATTCTCAGAAAAATTATAAAAAGAAAAATTAAAAAGAAACCTTCGAGTATGAACTAGAAGAATAACCAAAAAAAGGTTCTCTTTTTAAATTTTAAATCTAAACTTTCAATCTAATTTTTTTAACTTTCAACCTAAAAATTTCAATTAAATCTCTATCTTTCATTCTTACTTGATTTCAACCTAAAACCTAAAATTTCCATTTGATCTATAACTTTATTCTAACTTGATATTTTAACCTTATCTTTTAATCTAATCACTTATCATTCAACCTAAAACTTTAGTTCTAAGTTCCCGATTCCTCCTAACACAAAACTCAAATCAACCAGAAACCCAAAACTTCTCGGAACCGAGTAAATTTAAAAATGCAAAGAATTTCCAGCCTTAACCAAGGGCGTAACGGGCCCCAAATCAACACACAGAAAATGTCATTCAGGGAAACCGCAATCTCCATTAATACATTAATACGAACTGACAGCAAAACATACAGAAACTCGGAAAGAGAGAGATTTGTGAACGGCTTGGGGAGAAAAAAAAACAGAACAAAAGGAACGTCCTAATCAGTTGGCTTCCAGATAAAGGGCTTCTGGAACTGAAAACCGACAGAAAAAATCAGATGATTAGGAAAATTTTAAAAGGAATGTTTTGTTAACTTTTGAAGTCTTTTGTGAAACTCATACTGAAATTTTAAAGAAGTCGACAAAATTTTCAAAAATAATAATCATTTTCAGCATTATTTTAGATAATTCAAGACTTCTGCGCATTCAAAAAAATTGAACTCGGAAGGATTTTTGGTCTAAATTTGTATGGTTTTTGAAACTCAGGCATATTTCTTGTAATTTTCCGAGCTTTTCTATAAAAATCGTAAATGATCTGAATTCAAAAAAATGATACTCTATAAAACAAGAAACCTCTGCAAACCCTGGAAAAAGCTCCAAAAGGCTCTCAAAAAGGGTTAAATGAGCGGAAAAGCTCTTTTTCCCTCTTAAATATACTCTTATAGGCGTTCAATGAGCAATTATTTCTTTCAACAACAACAATGAGAAAATATTGAGTTTCTCTATAACAAAATTATTCGTTTACCTTCAAAAAAGCTCTTTGAAAAAAGGGATTAATAAATTTCATTCGTTCTACAAAAATTAAAGTTTCAAGGACTCTTGAAGAAGTACATTTTGTTTTTTGCATCATTAAGAAAACGTGAAATTCCATCACATTGATTGAAAAAAAGTGAGAATCATGAAAAAATCTAGAAAACCGTTCAAATTACCACAAAAATTTGCAAAGAGAATCAAAAATCCAGCAAAAATCGGAGTAGAAGTCAAGAAAAAAAAATAAAAAATCTTATAACTCTCTGAAAAAGATCTTCAAAAACTCAAAAATTTGTTAAAATCCCTCAAAATCCCGCAAAGCCTACAGAAAACAAGAAAACACGAAAAACGTATCGGAATCTGCGAAAAAAGTCCCCAAAATCGCTAAAATATCTTTGAAAAATCCTTCGTAAAGCTCAATTTCAGAGTAAAAGCCCAAACTTCCGAGCTTCTTATTCAAAAAAATGAAATTCAACCAAGTTTCAACACAAAATCAAACAGGACATCCAAAGGAACATCACATTTCACTCGGAAAACGGAGGAAAAAAATTATATGAAGGACACTCTCTGCCCACAACAATAGCCAATAGCTACGGCGGACAAAAAAGAACCGACGATGAAAAAAAAAGAAAAAAAAACGCGATCGGCCGTGAAAATCTTCGACGAGCAATTCAGCGCCACCCGTGGAACGATTTTCGCGCGTCGGGCCGTTCCGATCGGCCTCCGACAACTGACCGAGGCAAAAAATTGGGGGAACGAGTTCAAATTGTTCAATGAGTTTCAACTAACATAGCTTCGACTTGGTTGGCGTTGAGGGTTATTGGATTGAATAATTAGAAATAAGGAGATGAAAGTTCTCTAAAGGGATATCTCTTGAGACCTAAAAATATTACTCCAATGAACTGCAAAATTGTATTGTTTCACAAGCTTTTGCGGAGCTGTAAAACTCTTCTGTCCGAGGAAGAAAAATTGAGGGACAAATTTAACTTTTCAGTGAGGTTCAACTTAAAGCTTTGACTTTGAAATGAAGATTTTGAATGGTAACGAAAATGAGAGTTATTTTTTTCTGTTGTTTTGATTTATTTATTTTTCTCGATCATTAACCATTTATTACACTTTTGGTTTTCAAAACTTCGGGAGGAGATTTTTAGGTTTTTGATCAAACGGATCAGTGTGGTGGACGTAAAATTGGAATTGTTTAAACTTTTCAATCAATTAGAAGATGATTAAACAAATTCAAAAGCTTTTCTCTGAAAGGATCCCACAATATTATCATAAAAACTGGCAAAAAGGTGCGAATAGTGGTTCCAACACCAAAGAAGATAAAGATCTCCGTCGAGAAGAAGAGAAAGAAGAAAAAAAAGTGTCGGCCCCGGAAGACGGCGATTAGAAGAAATCGCCCAGATAATGTTGCAACGTTGGCAAACATCATTCATTTGATAACTATCTGATAAGGCGAACGGAAGAGAAGAAAAAGAAGAAGAGAAAGATGCATTTGCAAATGGAAGTAATAAATAATCTCGCGGGGAACGGTTTCACTTTCGGTTTTGTCGAGGAAGTGTGTTTAAGAAGGCTTTTTTGGCTTCAAAGCTGCTGGAAAAAATTGTAAAATATATAAATAATATCAAGGAACAGATTAACATCTAGAAGTTTCATTTTATTCATTTTAGTTTTCTTTGGATTTTCTAAAGACGTAGAAGTCTCGGATGACTTAAAATTACACCAAAAAGGTTCTTCGCTTTGAGACCTTTATTAAATCCCGCCCATGAACCTTTGTGTTTTTGAAGCCCCAGAAGTCTTACACTACCTCAAATGACCCAAAAAACGGCACTTCGCCTCAAAACCATTACTCAAATTAGTCTATGCGCCTTTAAACGCCACAGAGGAGATTTTTGAACAGAATAAAGAAGGATAAGTGGAAAAAAGCTGAAAGACATGCTATAGTCCAATCACAAGCGTCAAGCAAGAGATCATCTCAAGTGGCAGGGGCCTTGGTTGGCGCGTTACTTTGTAGAGTCCGACGCAGATAATCGCGACGAGAGGCCGGGGCCAAAGTCAAACAAATTACATATACGTATATTTATACACGTAGGAAGACTCTTCTGTCGCGCACCAATGGGTCTCATACCAACACAAACAGAAGGCGACCGACAAAAGGGACACAAAAAAATGGGAAAGAACGGAGGTTTTTTTTTGTGTTGATTGTGAAAAGAGCGCTTTTGAAAAGTAGACAGTAGCTCTTTTTTAATTGTTTATTTTTTCTGACATACTTCTGAGCTTCTGAAGGTGCAAAAGATGTGCTGAGACTCAGATTTATACGCCGAACCAAGGTTTTTTTTTTACCAGAAAAGCCTTACCAAGTTAAGAAAAACATTTTTAAAGAATTTCTAGAAATGAACGTTCTAACTTTAGACCAAAAAAGCCAGAAAAAGAAGATTTTAAAGAGAAAAAATACGAAAAACTTACTTTTCACAGGTATTCTATAAGATAAGAAGCTTAAAACTGATCGAACTTCAAAGATTTCTCTAAAAATCTAAAAATTTGAAAAATGCATTTTCCCTGCTAGAAAGCGTTGCAAAATTGTACAGGGAAATGATTTTCCGACGTGATTTACTATTTTAAAACTAAGAAACCACGCTCCCCCGCCCCTCCCCAAAAAAAAAGGTATAGCAGTACCGTCTCAAAATCCAATCAAAAAAGTCAGAACCAAGCTTTATAGAAGAGATTTTCCTAA